ATAGACGCTCTGCGTGGGGCTTCGTTCTGAAGAGGGACGGGCAGACTTTGCTCATCGGAAGTGGTATCAGGCATGGGGGGGAGGCCTTAGATGCGGAAATCACCGGGGCAAGGAAGGCTCTTGAAGCAGCATTGGGACTCCAGAGCGCGAGACAACGAGTCTACCTACTAATGGATAGTCAATAGGCGATCAACGCACTTGAGACAAGCAAGTCCACCACGAGCCGCGACGAAGTACGGAAATTTCGTGAGTTGTCCAAATCAGCTCGCTTGATAATTAAATGGGTAGCTGGACATTCAAGAATTCAGGGTAACCTAGAAGCTGACTCGGCCGCCCGGTCTGGCCTACGAAAGCTGCCTAGCTCTGAAATACGGCCAGAATCCATAACTCTGGCATTTCTGCATGGCCAAATGAATCATTTGCGGCAAGCATTGCTCGACGAATGGTGGAACGAAGCTTGCCCGCCCCGATATCGCAAGCTCGACCTGCTCATGCGACGACGAAACCCACCTGAGCTGGGACTTTCGAGGTTCCTACTCCGAAATCTGATTGTAGCTCGTACGGGCCATGGCAATTTCGCGGCGTATCATCGCCGCTTTAACAATATGGACGCTCTCATGGAGTGCACCTGCGGGGAGGAGACCACTCCAACCCATTTCATTCACTGTCGACTACATTCACACGTCACGCGTCGACTCAGAGGGAGATTGTCACATAGTATAAGGAAATGGTTAAACTGTCCTTTGCAGCTATTGATGGTGACATGAATTAAGATGATGATTGTGATTGAGATAGATTTCTATATAGTTTATAATACATGATATGCTCAGGTTCATATACCTCGAGCCAAGCAACCAGATTACGTTCCTCTAGATCTAGATTCATCAGAATAATTACTTACTCAGTAAAATTCTCCTAGTCTCAGTTGTGTGTTTAGGATCTTGATTAGGTTTCTAGTAACTAGTCAATGATGTTTCTCATATCACTGAGACATAGTCATGGTTGATACAACAGGTACAAACGATGAGTCGTGCCTGTACATGACGTTGTGATATAGTCATGATCGTCTGAACAATATCAACTCATGAATGAATCATGTCTCTACATGACACATAGTGACTTCACCCGAAAGCTTCTCGGGCCAAAGTGTCCCGAAAATTTCAAAAACTTTGTTAAAGAAACCAGCTGTTTTGAGTTGCCATCTACAAATTCGTCCTCTGATCTCATCGAGGAGCATATAAATTAGTCATACAGATGATATGACAGGAAGGAATACAAGGCGAGAAGATTTGTTTTTTGACCAAAATTGGGAGATCTGCAGGGCTTGATAGTTTTGTGGGTAGGAGTTTGGTTTCAAAAGTTGAACTTATGTACCGTTGCGAATTTTAAACTATCTATTTATTGTTTAGTGGTTCATGCGGTGGGATCAAGTTGGGCTTATCAGAGATAGGATCTTGGCTGTGAAAACCGGTCCTTGACTCTTCGGAGATAACGGGTTAGACCTAGGACCTAAATGAATAAACAAACAAACAAACAAACTTAAGGTATCGTGTTGGCCAGCTCAGTCTACATAAACTACCCGACGTGCCGATACCTTTAAATAAGCCCGGCATATTATAAATGGGTCAAGGCCTGCCTGCCATGCACCCCGAACTATCGAAAGAAGTCAAAAGCACTCTCCAGCTGAGACTTTTGTATTCTAATACAGTAGAGAAGATAGTTGTATATATGAAAAGGAAAGTTATCCATCACCTAGACCAGAAGTCTTCTAAATTTAGCTCTAGCAAATACAGGCCAAGTGCATATAATTTGGGGTACTAGTTAGTCTTGTTGTTGCATGCTTCAAAAAAGCACGTTTCATGAAGCCATTTACTAAAAGCTATGGCTCCTTCAGGTGAGCCTAGAATCCAGCAAATTCCCATGGTTGGGTGTTTGTTTCTGCTGCAAAGGCGGGACCGTCTCCGATTGAGTCGACAAAAGAAGAAGTGCTTGGGAGACTTTTCTAGCCCGCAAGCGCAGATTAGAAGAGCGTCCGAGTGCTGAAAGCGGCGGTGGTAGTCAGCAAAGTCTCCATGGCCTGAGCGAGCTGCAAGAAGGCGACCAAGAGCGTAGCGGTTAAAGCTCTTGAGTTCGGGGTAGCTCCCAGTATTGGCGTTAATTCCCAGTTTTTGACTCTCGCGTTGTTTGAAGGTGATAGTTTTCGAGCAACATGCAGGTGACCATGCGCCATAATTGCATGTATAAGCGACAGGGCTCCAGCCGCATCCATTTCGTATATGTCGCCATCCAAGCACTTATAATCCCTTGTGCCTACTTCAATCGGCCGTTCCTGTATACCAAATGGATTTTAATGCTACCTAAAAATCCAATCCCATAACTCTAAAATTCACAAGATTGCGTAAGGGTCCAGATAGAATGAAAGGCCCAGCTCAGATCTCTGACAGAATTCCTCTTTTCGAAGTGGTCCCGATGCGCAAGAGCGCTTCTCCGAATGGGTGATACACCCAGAACACGTAGTTTGTGCGGTGTCTCTGAGACCATCGATTTTTCCGCATCTGGCCCTTTCTACGCACTTGAATCAACATGTAGCGGTAGTGCATCTACTCGATTCAGTTACGCCTATGATATCGGCATAGTGGGAGTCGGGCGAACTATCTAAGAGTCGATAGCATCAGCTTTGAAAGGATTAGACCTGTTTCTCAAAATGTCGCAATAAAATATTGCCTCATGAGAGACTGCAGGGTCAGAAGTACTATAATTTTCAAGACATCTCTATTAAGGAACAGCTAAAGCTTTAGTCATTGGTATGAAATTCAAACCAGCTAACAAGAATTAGTAGATCAAAGTGTACTTAGACCGAAAGACATCGTTTGGATATGGTATAGCCACGAGGTATAGGAGAACCTCCAATAGTAACGATTAAACGCGATATTTAGGGTAATCCATCGATACTATCCAGCATCAGACCAGGCCAAACATGCTCGGTCTGCTAGGCTATGTGGACAACAAATTTATTTTTTAAACAAGGATTCCCAACAAGCCTCTGGTGGGCTCCATGACACAAATATTTGGAGGGCAAGACTGAACACCTGTACGCGGTGTCCTCTACGAACCTGGGAGTGAAACATTCTCCCAGAGCCAAGTTCAGTCAAATTTTGCAATACCGAACAAGTTGGCCCACGAGGCAGTGATTCAAATCCTCCACCACATCAAATTTTAATTCTCAACGAGATCGACTCCTACCTAAATCTGATCAAATCTACAAGTACGACCTAGTACATCCTCATTCTCTGGAGCACAACTCTTATCAACCTTCTCTGGCCTCATTTGACCACCAAATACACGCCCAAGCCGATATTTACACCCGACGGAGAAAGCAAAGCGTGGCGCACAAATCTGAGAGAAAATTCTTTTGATGGACGTAAGAGGGATTAGGACAAGTTAACAAGATGATGCAAAGGAAGTATATAAATTCGAAGGGCATGAAATTCGAAATTTTGGCAAGGATTTTTTACAAATTGAGCTTTGTGTGCGCCAAGACTTCGCTTGCGAGAGTGCAGCTGACACTATAAAAACAAGCAGACGATGGATGGTGTTCTCCGGTATAGTTTGAGTAGCCCGGGTGCCCACTCCACTTGGGAAGGAGACGCCATAGATCATATTTCGCGCGGAGAAAAGTTGATGGATGACGGAGGCATGTCTGGATAACTCAGGGTTTTTGAGACGTTCCCCTGGGTGGGTATTCACGGATGAGGGTTGACTTGGGGTGAAGAAAAAGCCACCATAACTTCGCCGTGGTACTTGCAAATGAAATCCGAGGCATGAGTGCTCCTCTTGTAAATTGAGTCATCTTTTCTGTACTTTTCTTTGATATTGTGTCATAGCTAGATAGCTGCATACGCAATTAAAATCTGATGCAAAAAAAAAAAATACTACCCGTCTAAATAATTGTATCCATTAATCAAAGTCTTTATTTAGATCCACTAAGTCCATAGTTTTACACCAATTAGGGACTACAATAAAATCCAATTTAATCTATTCCAGGGAAAGTAGAGACGGTGAATATATATGTAGGTATTGTTCTTTTTACCTGATGTGGCGCCTTGAGGTCCATGCAGGTTTTTATCGGAAGATATATACTTTGAGTAGGATGACACAATCTGACATTTAGAACACTCAGACGCAGATTTCATTTGCAGTTAACAATCGAGGTTGACCCTTACGGCGTTCAACCTCTTCCGTACATACTCACCACAGGGAAAAGCGTTGAAAACCTGTGGCTTTCCGAGAGTGCTTCCATCGTCTCACGAGTACAATATCACCGCGGGAGAACACGGTGTATGGGTATAGTTGGATTCGAGCCAGCTTTCTCCTGCCTCGAGTGGGATGGGGGTTCAAGCTATCCAGTCTCTACTTGAGAGGACGGCCCGAATGGTGTACCACTGCTCCATTCAACCCTGTGATAGTAAGAAACGACAGTTAATTTAATAACAATACTAGACAGCGTTAATACCGTCTGCAGTTCATATTTGCGGCGTAGATGGCTGAACTGTTTGGGCTGTGCTGACATCACCTCTGTGCATGTCGCCATCTCGACGAAAGCTTTCTAATACACCCTTAGTCTTGATTGAATATCTGATATGGGTGGCTATTTTCCTCTTAGCTACGTAGAGCACATCATCAACATGTATCTACTATTGATCTTCTCATGGCGAATAATATTTCTCTCTATTTCCACAACCCGGGCTCACTGGAATGTGAGGCATTCAAGTGGAGATGAAACTATATCACACGTGACTTAAATCTTGCACTGTTCACAGGGTCGACATAAAATTCACCTGGGATTATGCATTGTGACTCGGGACTGCAATTGAAGGAGACTGCACCATTTAAACAATAATTTAAAACTCTTATTTCGTAGCCAGATTACTCCACTCACTGCTCTACCCGAATTTGTCCTTTCAGTCAACTTAGTCAGGCTGTGACAAGTAACAACAAACATGTTCGGCTCATTCAGGCCAACTAATTCTCTAATGGGAGGACTTTTGTGGTAAATAATTTCCAATAATCGAGCAAAATATTCATACTAACGAGATTACTTTTAAGGAAGATTCCATGGAGGCTCTCAAAATTCCAGAAAGCGCGCCAGCGAAAACGATTACGTGCTGTCGACAATGTAATCAGTGTTATAGATAAAGCTCTTACCAAGAAGGGTATCGTGATGAAGTCAATCGAGTCGTGGAAAAATGAAATGCCAATCGAGCAAGAAATGATACCAAAGGATAAATATACCATTTTTGACCGGAAAGAAAAAAACTACCGAAAGTCGATCAGGAGTACGTGAACTCAACAGCAGCTCACAATTTTAAACTGGCTAATTGTCAAGCAGAACTACCTAAATGGACAAGAGTGTCCCAGAGAATAAATCCTCCTGGCTACTAAACCAGGCATTTGAATGAATTCCCCCAAATTTATAAATTCCATAACAAGTTCCCTCGATAGTTTCAATCTAGTTGAACCCAAGGTCAACTTTAAAGCTATTTGACGTCCATAGAGTGCAATTTCACGCCTCAGGTAAATTTCCAGGTCGCATGTTAAGCAGATTCGTGGCTTTGGAACTTTCGAACATATCCACATCAATTTAGTACGTGTACATATTTCATTCGTCATGGGCTATGTAAATGTTCATTCACATTAGACTCTATTGTGCGCAATATATTTGAAAGCCATTTCTTCGCCGATTTATCATCACGAAAAGTGGTTAAATAAAAACAGCTGCATTGATTCCATAGGGTTATTATCATTATGAGGTTGTGTATAACTTGTTGAGATATTGACTCTTCTGCATATAACAGAAAAGTGGCAGGGCATGTAGATTAAAACTACAACTATCCCGTATAGGAAAAGAGATAGGTTGATAAAGTTACTTCAAATGGCAAGGGGAAAACACACGTTACAATGTGCTCACGATTCGGCTAGTCCAAGGCAAATATTAGTTGCAATTGAAATTTCTGCTCATTTAGGAGGTCGTGACGTGATCTTTTTACTGAACTACTTCAGTCTCTGAATATCTAGCACATTGAGCTCCTCTCTGGTCCACGCCTCACCTTACATAGTGCTCATATTCTCTTTTGTTACTATTAAAGATCTAGGGGATATCTAGAATGATAGAGGTTAACGTCGACCGTCAAGTCAATACTGTAAAAATCGTAAGATATTGGGGATTCAAGGATCAGATAGGTTTTTGATTGTACTGAACTTATTTTTAGGTAGTCAAAAGTATTAGAGATAAATCTACATCTAATTGTCTATCTACGTTCTACCTCGCTTAGGTAGAAACATTATGTTCTGATTACGTGATGAAATATCATTCACACTACCGAGATCATTACCAACCGAGACCTCACCAAAGCTGGTAGCGATCGAAGATGAGAAGTCTTCGTCTACTCCGCACTGCGTGCAGTTCGGTCTGGTATGTCTAGACTTCAACAGTTACCTGAAAGATCATTGCTATATTCCCCTTGATGAATAGCCATTCAGCTCAGTATTTACCCGTGGAATTCGGTCGCTTTTTCCACGGAACCTTCTACCCTATAGAAATAAAAAAGAGAGCAATGGAAACTGCATGCGCGGGAACAAGTCTCAAAAAACCTCCAGCCCCGGCAAGGCGAGACCTCGACACGATCGTCTATCTAAACAGCCCGTTTCCTGCGTAAATTTTTTGAAGCTTTCGTGGCATTTGGGTCCGAGAAGCTTTTTAATTAAGTCAACGTGGGACATAGACTTTCTGAGCCTACGGGTGTGTTGTGCGTGGTGGCCATAGTGAATGGAGTGGGTTGGAGTAGTTTCCTTCCCGCAAGAGCACTCCATAGCAGCGTATGGATTTTTAAAACGGCGATGGTATGCCGCAAAATTGCCGTGACCTATTCGTGCTGCAATTGGTGCCTGGAGAAGATGCCTAGAGAGCGACTGCTCGGGTGGTTTACGGCGCCGCACGTGAAGGTTAAGTTGGCGGTATTTAGGCGGACAAGCCTCTACCCACCAGCTTTCCAGCAATCTTTGTCGTCGGTGATTCATGAGACCACGTAGATATGCCAGAGTACATGATCCTGGTGGTGTATTCTGGCTAGGTAGCTCTTGAAGGGCGGCACGGGCAATAGTGTCTGCCTCTTCGTTCCCTTGTATCCCGGTGTGCTCTGGCACCCATTTTACCAATACTTTTGCCGCGTTTTTTAATGCACGGAAGCTGCGTATATCTTCGAGGCTAGTTGAGGACGAGCCAGTCGTTAGTGTGCTTACAGCCTGCTAATTGTCTAGAAACACGTAGATAAGCTGCGACCCTCCTAATTTCCTGGACTTTTCGTTCTTCAAGAACTCTAGTGCAGCCTCCAGAGCCTTCCTTGCTCCTATTATCTCTGCATCCAGCACCTCTCCCCCGTGCTTGATGCCACTTCCTTTGCCGATTGGTTTTCCATTCTTCTTCAGAAGAAACCCCAGGCGGAGCGTCTGTATCCTTCCGATGAGTCATCTGAGTATGCGCAAAGGTCCGTTCCTGGCACGTCGCTAATCCAGTTAACGCAATCTTCGCGTTACATCGGATTTGAGCCTGATTTCCGTGGGTAAACCACCGGCATCAGACTTTCAGGGGCTTCTACTTTCGGAAGCTCTGGATAGGCACGCTGTAATCGTGGCATCTGGATTTTAGGTCTGGCTGAGGTTTAGGCGGCCTTTCTTTATTTTCGGGTGCCAAAATTCGCACATACGGAAGCGCGGATCCTCAAAGGGTGTCGATCATCAAGAGTCTTAAGCCTTGCCGAAAGCCGGAGACGATTTCCCTCAAGTATGACCTTTGCCGGCGGGATTCCTCCTTCTCTGTGAAGGACTACATTTGGTGTTATCCTCATTGCTGGAAGTGCAGCCCGCAGTCCCACCAGGTTCGCTCTATCAATTATGCTGCAAAGGCTGGACGTAGATGAAGTGGCCATTCCTCGTAAAGTTGGGCTTTTGGATCCTAGCCACCAGACATCAGATCCAAAGGTGGCTAGTAAGATAACGCACATGTCTAATGCGCTGGCTAACGGCCCGGGGGCTGCTCCCCGAAAGACCGAGTTGAAGCGGCGCATATGCTGTGCAGCTTTTATCGCTTTCCCGCACCAGGTGGTTACGTGGTGTTTGAAATTGAGTTGCGGATCAAAATGTACGCCCAGTGTTGGAAATTCTGACTCTCGAATTTAGGACTCAATCATTACCTGTTTCGTCTCAGGTTCCCGACAAGATCGACTCTCTCTACACATGTCCCGAGTGCGCTAATCGCGCCTACTGTCGCCTATACGTTTGGATATTTACGTACTACAGTGTACCTTGGCTCATCATGGTAGATGAGAGGTGGCTAGTCATCACTAGGTTTGACAGGCACACGAGGCTAGCGGGAATTTCTCCCTTAGATGTATATATAAGTCCAATGTTCCCATAGTTGTAAAATATCAAGTCTTCTTTACTTCATCATATTTATCCATATAATATCGTACAGAGTACATTTTCCAACACCCAGCCATCGAATATGATCAGCGGGCTCGATGAGATTTCCATTTATGTGAATACCAACTGCTTCTTCTTGGCATTGTCCTGGGAATTGGATGACTTCTGACTTTTCCGTTTGGAAAGCAACGGCATTTTCCCCTGCCCACTCGAGAAGATGGTCTACCTCTCTTTGTGCAGCGCTGGCAGATTCAGCAATTATGCGTCCAAACCCCAAAATTCCAATATTGTCGGCGTAGCTAAACCTCAATCCTGAGTTGCCACTTTGCATCGGCTCCGCCATGTACAGAAGGAACAGTAGTGGCGAAATTGGTGATCTCTGCGGAACTACGCAGACCAGCTCTTTCTGTGCGATGGTTCCTCTGGAGAAACGCACTTGAACCTTGCGATTTGTGAGGAATAAAATCCTCCATCGGAGGATAGAGTCTGGTCATCTCTGAGCTTGCATGCGTCTAACCAAGCGATTGTGGAGCACTGCATCGAACGCTCCTTGGACGTCTAAGGTCACGAATGTCGAGGCCCATCCCTGGGAGCGTGCTTCTTCGATGTCATGGACCACGCAGGAGACCAGGTTCGTTGTAGATCGCTTTGGGAGCGCACCGAATTGTTGATAGTCAACCACATCATAAGTGATTGCGAGATATGCCATTCGCTTAGCAAGAAGTCTTTTTAATCCTTTGCCTAGGCACGAGAGTAGAGCGATTGGTCTCCAACCTTAAATTGAATTTGGGTCCCTATCTGGCTTTTCTAATAGTACCACTTCTGCATGTTTGAAGCAAGATGGATGGATGCCGAGCCGTATGCAAGCTCTAAAGATTTGCGTAACACACGGTCCAATCGTGTTCCAGCAGGCCTCAAGAAGCTCAACCGTGACTCCGTCTGCTCCTGGGGCTACCTTGGTACAGCCTATGGTGCAAGTTCGCACTTCGTTGTCCGATATGTCGTCTTCCCAGGGTATCCGGTTATTACTGAGAGCAGTGCACGTAGGAAGATCGTCCGATGCTTGGTAACATACAAGAAGAGCATCACGGAGAACTGTGGCTCGCTCAGATAGATCGGTGATATAGGATCCCTTATTGTTGAGCGGCGGAGGAGGTCTGACCTGTCTGTGGTTGGCCGAGTGCATCAGCTTGAATATGTCTGCCGGAGATTTCATCGCTTCGACTTGGCATGTCTGATGTATTGGAGGGTGGTGATGTATATGGTTGTATACACTTGGTATCTTCAATTTAAATGTTTAAGACTACTCAGGGGGCTTAGAATATACTTGGGTGATTATGGCAATAAATGTTACGGGATGCGAATGGTATCTTATTGTGTTATTAAGTTATGTTATGTTACAGGTTATGTTCATGATAATTAACCAATCCCACATACTTCCAGATAGCGCCGTAGCTAGTCTCTTTTAGGAGTGATCTACGGGTGAGTGTAGCGATCGGTGGTATCTAATTTATCACTAACCTGTTTCCATTTCCCTGGCTCTGCGTGCTACACTACGTGGACGACCATTTACTACTAATGTGAAAAGCGCATTCATGACATGATGTTCCTTCTTGGCGGCTGTGATGGTCGCGCGTAGCTTCTTCGCACATATATCCAGCTGTCAGAGTGATGTTACGGCTCGGTATTTGACGTGTGCGAATTTGCATCTAGGAGTCCACCACGGTGCAGATTTTCCGCTCCCCTTTCTGACCCATGTTTCAGTCACTTTGATGGCCTCCGAGACATGGAAGTAGATCTCTTGGGCGTACTCATCCACTTTCTCTGCTGTACTCAAATCTAAAGGTAGATGTACCCATTTCGCAATGGCCCGCGCAAACTTTGATAGATTTTCCTTGGGCACTCTGATCTTTGCTGGCACTAGGTCCCCGGTGGCGGTTGCCGCAGGTACGATTCCGTAGATCGGAGGATGGTCGCTAGTCATATATTCCTCTCGATCGGCTCAGGCCCGGGCTTCAGAAATATTGGTCCAGGTGAGGTCCAAGGTATTGCCGGCTCTGTGAGTGGGCTCTCCAATGATGAGGCAAGAGAGGTGGAAGTTTTCCGCCCATTTTTCTATCTCATCACCTTGTCCATACGGCTTAGTAACGCCTGGCTGTCAGGCCGCGTGCACAGAGTTGAAGTCCCCAGCTGCTATCAACCTCGGAGACGGATTCCAGTTTATCAGTGGTCGGATAGCAGTCGAGTCGTTAAGGGCTTTATACACATTGAGGAACGTGATTTCATTGACCTTTACCCAGCAGTAATCACCAGTGGGTGTGGGACAAGGAAATAACTGCTCCGTTGATATCACATTTTTGTTCTTTCGGGTGTATGTCACAGTCCTCGGTCTGACATCTACACCTCAGTGCGGTGTATGACAGATATATCCTGGGTGTGATATGGTTTCTTTTGATCTTAAGTTCCATCGCGGTTCTTGAATTAGCACAACATCTACGCTTAGCTCGTAAGCTCAAGAAAGCGCGATGTTGTGAGTTGGGCATCCCATGCCTACAATGATTAATATAAAACTTAATGTAGGAGGGAGGCGAGAAGGGGCCCGTAGGGCGCCCTTCACAAAGCTTCTTCAGGGTTCAAGGCCCCAAAGCCCGAACCCTCAGTCGTTACTGTGTCTATCAATGATATTTCTTTAACAGGAGCTGGAGAAGTTGGTCGTGTCGATCTAGCGGCAGCTGTAGCAGCCTCAGCGGCCTTGGTAGCAGCTTTGGCCAGCTTGGAAAATCGTCACAAGTTGCTCCTTGGTAGCTGGGCCAGGCAGTCTCGACTGCCAGATTGGTGAAGCCCTCCGCAGTTTCGACATTTAAAGGCTACTTTACACTCGAATGCCGAGTGCATGGTGGATCCACAGTTACAACAGGCTGACGCACGAGAACACTTACGGGTGGCGTGGAAACCGAGACATCGCCTACATTTCTGTATGGGAGGGCGCATTCGTTGGATTGTTGCTATTCCTGAGTCGTCAAATAGTCGGAAGCCAGGCTTTTGGCTAGTATCCTTGTGGAACAAGGACGCCCAGGATCTGTTGGGAGCGCCGAGCTTGGTTTTTCCGTGAATTCTTACTCGGTCTGGAGTGCAGTTGGTTACTCTGAGGATTTCGGCAGTGACTTCGATTCGTCCTTCCAAGCCGAAAACGGCGACTGGAAACGTAGCGATCAGGAGGGAAACTAGATCACTTGGTGGTTCTAGTTATGCCTCCACTTGTGTAAAGGTGCTAGAGGCCTCCAGCAGTCGGGTTTTTGCATCTGAGTTTTTGGCACGGATGGCAAAGCCCGCGGGAACGCGTTGCACCTGGTCGACATCGATAGGTGTGCATTGTGTATGTTTCGCTACAGCTTCGCGAACACCAGCCGGAGAGAGCTGTCTCCACTCGTGGTTTGCATCGAGACGCAGGAAGAGTCTGTCATCTTGCGGTGCTGTTGCTGGTGTTGCCGGCTTCTTCTCTGGTTTCCTGGCAGATGGGGCAGCTGCGCCCGAGGTGATGTTTACAGGAGCCTGTGTGCCTGACTTTTGGTGTCATGCTCGGGTGACAGTGGCCAAAGTACTTCTGGGCGGGAGAGGTTTTTGTTTTGTTCATTAACGTACTAGGTTACATGACTACCGTTGCACTCCTACTGGAGCTTAAGCAGGAGTGGGGTCGGGACGGATCAGGTTAACTATCGTGAAGTACAGATAAACCTCGTCCCACTTTAATGACCGGACCACCTCAGACTTCACCTATGTGTTGAATCATACCAAGCCTAACTGTCCAGAACCCCGCTGTATACACGCCGTAGCGTAATTTCCTACTCAGCCTCTACCACCACGCGCCCGAGCCCTTGACATCCTCATTGGCACCAAAATATAAATGCCGTCCAAGATCTCATCGTTGCTCTAGCCTTGCACCTTCATATCGTACCGTTGGGTTGTTTTCGTCATTGGGGTTTTGTATAGTCCCCTCGGTGTATCTTCCCTCTTCTTCCTCCTTTGTACATGTCCAGCTGCCATCATGACTTTCCTCATTAGGGCGTGTGTGGGTATGTTATCGGACGAATATGGAGGTGGGTCGCAGGTGTAGGACCGACTGAGAAATGCTTTGTAGCAAATATAAAACGAGTATAAGAGGTATCGGATGTTTGAATACGACCCCCAGACAGACCTAAATCCATTCGTGAATCGTATGTTAGTGGTGATGAGTTTTTTTTTTCAATTTTGTTTCGGCTGTGAAATCTCTGCCCACTGATTTTTCGACCAAAATATCAAGTGCAACTCCTTCAAGTCGAAAATCCATCAAAAACAAATTCATCCCACCCTTTTTCGTAACTGAATCTCGGCTCTAGGAGAACATTTCACTCCCATGATCGTAGAGGACACCACTGACAGGTGTTCAGCCTTCGTCCTCCGTCGGAATAGGTGGTGTCTTCTTAGTTGTAATTTACCTTCTACTATTTCTGTAGTGGGTCTCGCGGTTGGAATGAGCTAAGCCTGTAAGCAGTGATCCCCGCCGGCCCCATCAGTCTTTTACCTACAGTGGACCTTTGACTTAGGACTTTAAAAACTAAAAGATTAAAAAATCAGTGCCTCTAATCTTTTCGAGCCTGATTATTCGGGTGTTGAATAAGGAGATCTGATTTCTTAGAGTAGAAAATTCATTGAAAAATAATTCGATTATTAGAGCCTCGGTCTCATAGCTCTCGATAATTAGTGTATTCTTCACTTGACATCCAAAGGTCGCGAGTTAGAGTCCCTCCGAGAACAACGTTTTACACCGATAAGCTCCCAAAAAATAGCCTTATACCGAGAGCTTACACCTTCCTGAAAATTTAGGACTTAGAGCTAAAACACCATACCAGGATTAGTTAGCGTAGGATGTTGCTCAGGCCACGCAGGAATCTTCGGCAATCTAATTGCAGACGCCCTTGCTAAATTGGCCTTGATAACTCAGTCCCTAAATCTCCCTACGTCAATTGTAAGATCACGGAGCGTTGCAAAGGCTCGCTATCAGTCAAGCATTGATGAATACTGGCAACCACATGCTCCCGCGCGGTATAAAAAGCTCCATATTAGTTCTAACGCCATGATATACTCAGAACTTACCTGCCTCGACCGTCGCACCCTCGGTCTACTTATGGCAGCCAGCACAGGTCACGACGACTTTGCAGAATATCATCGCTGGTTCCTTCACAAGGATGCCTACTGAAACGTTTCTGCGAAGAAGAAAAGGCTATAGATAACATCTTTTTCGAAAGTCGTGTTTTCGACGCCCACCTGGAATACAATCTTTGGTTTGCAGCGCTCAGCTGGGAGGCCTCTTCGAACGTTTCAGAAGGGTCACTATGACTTCGGATTTAGTCCCTATGTCAGTACTAGAAGAGCTTTGCACCCTGTATTTTTTTTGCGGTTTCCCCGGCCGCTGTACACCCGCAAATGACCATCGTTTCGTTGGCTGGAGAGGGGAGATAATGAAGGGCAATAGGCTCCTCTAAGTGTATGATCGAACGAGGACTTGTGAAGGGCGGTATTGTTTGAGAGCTGTATGGGAGGCATAGGAGGGGATATACTACCGGTATAGGTATCCTTGGCCTGTAGGCAGTGAGGACCTGCATATCCTACATAGTCACAGACTCAGACAGGACAATAAAATGACATGGGTTACAGGCTGGACGCATCCTAGTTCTGGGCTGAATGCAAGGACGGGTTTTAGGATGAACGCCAGGGCATATATGCTGGTGGAGAAGAGCTCAGGATGAGGATTGCTGATTCAAAACCATTGATTATTTCTTTAGTTTATTTCTTTTCATTTTCTTCACTACATTATTTATTTAACGAGCGCATGATTTATTAGCTCTAAAATGGGTGTGAACTAGTAGGGCAAGCCTAAAGGTTAAATCTCGGCCGGCTCCACTGGTACTACATCTAAATAGATTGAAGGCTACGGCCTAGGATTTAAAACTAAAATAAATAAATAAATAAATAACGGAAAATAAAAATAAATAATAATCATAATAAGAACTCGATTGATCGATAATTGGTTGTTGATAAGTAATTATTATGGGGAAAAACTGTTGAATAAAGCATGGTGGCTATGGGGCTCGTACTCAGGCAACAAGGCGCACACGAGTTGCATTGTTTGAAAGAGCCCCTCATCAACTGTTAGTTTTAGCAAAGAACAACGTCAACCTGTGATGTAGCATTATTCGTTGCTACATTAAACTAATGATTCATCAGTAAGGTAAAGATCTAAGGAATTTATTTCCTCGCCGTTTTGGATAATAGGCCTGGAATTATTAAAGCAGTAATAGACAGCATCATTTAAATTATCAAGAGACGAACCTTTTAGTAGCAAGCCTAGGAAACTCACTATAACTCTGAAAGCGGTCTTTTCTGCAGATATCCTGGCATTTGCCATGGCTGAAAACACCTGTGGGCCGTCAAATGCCCTCCAAAATATACAGAAGCATAGCTCCCACGACAGAACACTCCAGCAGGATAGATTAATCTCCCGGCAGCCTTTTTTTCAAGTAAGATTCCAGACACGTAGTTGATCATTTAAAATTTTAAGAGTACATAGGGACTTAGGCCGTTATCACACAAAACATCTAGCTCTGCCAAAATAGAGTTCGAAGCTTTTCAAAATGACCAATTATTCCCCGAACCCACTATTGAATCACAGGCATTTTCATGCTTACCACCAAAATCAACGCATCCAGGGATCCCAAACTGGGCCTCAGATTTTCAACAATTATCCTTAGTACAACCGCAGCTACATACCTCTACATTTCAGGTTTCTCAAACGCAAGGATATCATGGCACCGATGAACAGCAATTTCTTAACAAAAACATTCCAACATCAACAAGCTTAAAAGGATTCAGAAGTATGGGGCTATCTTCTAACTACGGATTTAATTATGGCGAAATGAACCGTGAAAGTAATACACTATACTATCAAACTATGGAGAAAACCTACGAAGCAGAAGAATTTGCCAGAGCTTTTGATGAAGTAGCTCTTTCTTACTCACAAACGATGCTTGAAAGTCATCAGGAGAATCAGGCTGAAACTTGCCTAGATGAGCCTATGGATGAATCCACTGATGGAACACTATCCTTGGAAGACAACATACATCTGACCCAAGCTAGAATTGGTGCCGACATAGTTGATGACGAAAAACTATCAGATGAAGAAGAATCTAATTGCTTATCAATAATCGCATCCAAGCTCCTTAACAGCTTGAATCATGAGCAGAGTTCAAAATTTCAAAATAGCCAATTTCTTGATTTAATGCGACAGTTCCGAGATAAAGAAGCTACCGTCGAGGGAGGCAAAGTTATAGTCTCACGAAATAATTGACCAACAGAAAATCATAATAAGGTTCGGGATTATCCACTTCCGCCTCAATCTTCTGTTGTTAGCCCAGATATCCCTTTCACGCTATGTACGGAAGATTATTTAAGGAATCGGTTTACAATGGGTAATTGAAGCCAAGCTTGATGAATTTGTACTTCATACAACTTTAGCAAATAGCTCTCAAGTAAATAATACTTTAATAGCCCGCAACCCAAGGTCCAAGTTTAACTCGAACAGGGTTTGACCAGAGATTCTACTCGCGTTACACCCAAGCTTAGATCATCTCGGGTTATCGATCGAATCGGAAAATTCTTGGAAAGGTCACCGGTGCTTGTATCTAATTATTGCCCATTGGAATTTTTTAGCAGCCTGAACATAATTTATTAATTTTTCTATCCATTAAACTTGTCAAAAGATCCCTAAGATTGCTTAAGGCATACAATACTATCTAACTTTATCTACCAAAGAACTCTGAGACTTGATGATTTGCTGTCGGTCAAATTATACTAGTGGAGCTGTTCTTTGAAAACTATTAAAGTTCTATTCTATGTATTATGAACAATCTTTGAGTCTAAGTGAGTATATTCTGCGAACTGATTTCCATTTATGATTCATCATGGTTGTTTAGCTCACAGTCGGATAATATTTTGTCCGAAAGCAAGGGTGAACACGTCAAAGGAAAGGGTTACAAGCGATGCAAGTACCTCCACCCCAACTCCGGAGTGAATTAGATTGCACATACAGGTTCGAAAAGATCTGATGAGATTATTTTTGCTCATGTTGTTGATTTTCACTTAAGCTGATGGTTCTTTTGCTGGCGATCGCCCGATCGAGGTTGTATCCGGCTTTTACGTGAAGAATGGGCCCGTCGGGTTCAAAGAGACCCGATTTAAAGCACGTTGCTATCAAAATCCCCGATCATTAGACGAACATGCATCTGTAACAAGGGTTACCCCAGAGACCCACTATAAGATCGAAAACGAATAATAATAAGTATTCACTAACGGGGGCCCGGAAAATAGGGTGGTGCCGTCATTCTGCCTTCACTGATAAGTCTGAGCCAAAACCGTCGCATGTCTCGTTTCGACATCTAGCACACATTGACCAAACAGCCCATTCGCCCAACTAAACCATTGTCTTGTCCACATTTTTTGGTCAAATGAATTGACACTCTCGTGAATGAGACCAAGTCCTGCGGTACTGGTTACAAGCTCTCTCAAAGCATCAATGATTTCAGCTTCATCGTCAGTCGTAAAGATGCGCATAATAGCAGCCATAGGCCAAGCCATGCCTAGACCGGCGTGAGGCCCGCCCACAGCATTTAGAACGGGGCCTCGCATGAAGTAGGGATTGTCCGAACTCAGAATGAACCGGCGCGTGTTCTGATAGACGGGATCGTCATTCTTAATGTAGCGAATAAAGGGCGCGCTGAGGAGTGAAGGAATATTCGCATCGTCCATCAAGTTCGCGCTACCAAAGCCATCGACTTCATACGCATATATATCGCCGTACTTTGCATCGTTAACGATTCCATGCTTGCTAATTGCGTCGCGAATACGACGAGAAAAATCACTCATTCGCGTCGAAAGTTGTTCCTGCGCGCCATGGGCAGCCATGATGTTGGATGCTGATTCCAAGTAACTGGCGAACATCATATTTGCAGGAATGAATAGTTGAAAAGTAGTTCTACGCATGTTAGTCTCCGGTCTCATCATTTTTTCTCTCTCGGTTTACCTACGCATCATCACCGGGACGAAAAGCCGAGCGTATTAATCCAGTATTCCCTTGTACTGGATTCCCGCGTCCAGAGTTTGACTGTGTCTCTGTCGCACTCTTTGTAAAACGCTGCCATGTATAGGGGCTCATATTTATCGAACCATTGGCAGAATATGTGCCTCCCAGCAGCATCTCGGTCGTAGACATGATGGTGTTGACAGCACTCACCCACTGAAAGTCTCGAAAGAATTGAATATCCCCAGTAGCCTCATAGTAGCTGGAGGAAATTTCGAGAAAAGCCGCAAGAGAGTCGAGTTCATACTTACACTCAAAAACGATATCATGAGGCTTAGGGGTCACTTCATCTGGACGATCCTGATTACGAGTCTGGGTCAGGCCCGATTCTGCAGGCGGTTGGAATGAATTGCAAAAGGGCGCAGCTATTATGTACCGGGCCTGGAGATTTATGACGCCACGAAAAAGACTTGCGAGAGAGTTAGGCCCACCATCTGCTTTGAGGAGAGACATATAACTTTGCATCTGGTTGGCCGAATCTCGGAGCCACATTGCCTGCACGATAAATCAGATAGCTGCTTCGGCAAGTCAACTTCAGTAAATTGAAGACACTTGCATTTATATCACCCGTAATCAGAAATGTTAATTCCTCCTTATCATTGTTTGCCGCGAAGCCTCTCCATTTGACAGCTGTGTCCAGGGAATTAGGAAAAGTGTTCTCAAAGAGGCGATAGAGATCTGGATCTTTGATGACGCTCTTCATGCGAACTATGGTGTCTTCTACCTGCGACGAATTAAATTTTCGGCATGCAGGATCAGGTCGCATGTATGGAAGCTTTAAATTCCCTGTACTCAATGGATCGTGAGTGGTTTGGGAGTAAATGGCATAGTCAGGACATTGAGCCGCGGCATAATTGCCTATCAATGGAACCACGATGAAGACCAATCGAAAGACCCGATAGAAGCTTGAGATGAACATTTGAGTTAGCTAAATGTTGGTAAACAGGTAACAAACATGAATTAAATAATGTTTCTATAACGTCGCACAACACGAGCATTGAATACTTCAACATTAGCGGCAGTCTAGGTCTTAGAGGGGTTAGACCCTGTTCATGCATGAGGGTGCTACTTGATAAATGTTTGGAATTGAAGGGATCACTGCTCGGGCGGCTGGGAATGGAATGCCTTGCTTTTTTCAGGGACTCGTTCAATTGAAAATCATGAACAGAAGCTCAGGCAATAGAATCGAGGTCGTAGATAAAAGTCACGTAATGTAGTTGACAGGTTGTTTTCATGACCTCGAGTATATTGATTCTGTAGAAATTCAGATTACCCACAGAAAATTCGGGTATTCAAAGCTGCTCGTGATGCTTGGCACAAGCAGAATCGTCAGCAGGCACTAGAAATGCTACATTATAGAGTCACAACCATGAGATATACTCCATCTGCACTGCAGATGATCGCGATTAGATTTAGTCTCAATCGCGACGTGTCGTTAATGAAAGCAATAGGGTTTACCAGGTTATATTTTGGCCCCATAATTTCTGAACAATATAATGATTGTGACATCGGCGTATACATTGAATGAATAAAAAAAAAAGCTAATCCCCGGAAGCATGTCCTTCATACCAGGACAGGCATTGGAACGGATTCCGGGGAATAGTTCCAAGGCCCAAGTTAGAATGTTTAGATTCACAGTCGAGCGCTAACTTTCCGTTTTGAAACGGGGTAAATAATTGATTAGACTTTGTAGGTTTGCAGGTATCTTTTTCAAATTTCCGTACATACGCTGCACATCATGAGCCTACAGTGCCACTAGGTTCCAAAAGGTAAAACTTCAAACTGGGTCGTTGAAGGGATTAGCCCTGTAGGCGCAGTTGAGCTAGCTCGTAATAGGTTAGTATGTCTCTCCTCCTTACCCCGCTCGCCATGAAGTTTGGTCCCATCGTCTTCTTCTAGTAATCGCTTAGAAAAACACATTTTCAACAATATTTTTGGCTGATTAGTCTACACAGTCACTGAAACTTCACACCACTATCAATTCATCCTCTATTCTAGCAAAGAATGTCTCTCGAAAAGTCTGTTTCAGAAACTAAAGTTCGCAAGCATCTAACTCGCGATCAATGTATTAAAATAAGAGCATTAAGAAGACTTGGCTTGACAGTACAACATATATCCGACGAACTTGGCTTCACAAGAAGGCAAGTGCAACTTGCGTGTGCTCGAGAGACTGAGAATCCTATGTCTCGCAAAGGACCCTTACCAAAATTGAGCGCGGAACATGTCGATGAGCTTGAGGCTTTTGTCCGGGAATCTGCTGAAAATCGACAGATGTGCTATTTAGAACTAGTCATGGGGCCCTTCAGCCACTGGGGATGCATCGAAAGTTTAATTTCTAATGCATTCAAAAAAACAGGTCACAGCAGATGCATTGCTCGGAAGAAGCCTCCGTTAAGCGCGGTGAACAAACAGAAAAGATTGGAGTTCGCCCAATTACATTTAGCTTGGAGCGATGAACAATGGAGTCGTACATGACGGACTGATGAAACCTGGGTTTCGGCTGATTGTTAAATTACACTTCTTGTCACAAGAAAAGCACGTTTAAATTCTATCAAAATCTTCCTTGTACTAACAGCAGAGTTTAGCCTGATGATGAGTTTGATGAGACTTGTATTGTGGCTCGCCATGCTTATGGGAACAGCTGGATGTTTTGAGGATCATTTTACGGATCACAAAAAGGCCTATTCCTAGTCTGGGAGAAGGATTGGGGATCAATGAGGTCCTCATCCTTTTGTGAAAGGATTTTGCCACTTTTGAATCAATTCACTCGGAAAATCCAGAAATTCTATACATGCACGACAACGCACCATATCACAAAGCGTACTCAACAATTGAGGCGCTGCGTGAAGTTGGAATAACTCCTATTAGATGGCCACCCTACCCTCCGGACCTGAACCCGATCGAGTCATTGTGGAATATCTTAAAAAACCACATTCAGGTAAATAGTCATGAGAAAATGGGGTCAGGCTTGCGCGCTCTGCCACGTTGAAGACATTGCTACAGGATGCATGGGACCTACACCTTCTGAGGAGCTATTGTCACTAGTTGGCAGCATGCACGAAAGATGTGTAGCAGTGATAAAGGCAAATGGAGGGTACACAAAGTATCAGGATGGAGAAGACACACAAAACATGTAGAACGCTTTCATTTTAGTTGCGAGCTATACTGAGGGCTTCGATGTAGACGTTTGTAATACAGAGCAATAATTTTTGAAATAGATGTGCAATTTTAGAGAAGATCAATTGAATTTTTTTAATTCTCAATTTTAAATGAGGACCATTGTACTTCTCCCATTGAGTTGAAACCCATCCCCATAATTTAGACTTTCACGGAATGTCATCGGATGGTACCCCTTTCTTGCATATCTAGTCGAGTAACTGGACATGGGCCTGCATGCAGACCATACCAATTAAGGCAATAAGTACAGGGATCTAACCCCAGTCATTTTGACAATTTTACTTTTGCCATCCATAAGAGACCGTATATTGACTGCGCGCATGGAGTTAGACGCATAACGACATAACAACGGGGGTCTAGAACTCTATGCGTGTAAGTGGTTAAGCCTGAAGGTATCCATTTCTAACCATAAAGTGTGCATAGGCGAGTTAAACTCAACACAACCCAGGAGAGCATCGACTTTGGGTGAGTCTACAGCATTCTCTGATACCCAAGCCGTCACAAAGGTGTTAGGCTAGGCTACTACACAGCAAAATCAGTCTATAAAGGAGGACAAGACTGAATGTCTGTACGCGGTGTCTACTACAAACCTGAGAGTGAAATATTCTTTCACAGCCATGTTCAGTCAAATTTCGCATTTCAGAAGAAGTTGGGCCAGGAGGCAACGGTTCAAGATACTCCACCATCTCAAATTTTCACTCCCACTAAGACCTCATGAAGCTTACAGGTACGACTTGGCTCATCCTCATGTCAATGGCCACGCCTCTCTTGAACTATCGTATGTCCTAAGCTGGCCACTAATGCACGCCCATATTTACACCCGCCGGAGAAAACAAAGCGTGGCGCACAAATCTGGAAGAAAGTTCTTTAACATAGACGTGAGAGAAATCAGGAAAAGTTTATGTTAGAAATTGTCAAGGATTTCTAGGAGGAAATATCTCGAGGAACAAGTGTACAATTTCGGACAAGAATCTATTGATAGTTGTATGTGATATCGAACTCTCTTTTCAATATGAATTAATAATAAATAATACTCCGATAGATTAGCTTTACATATGCAGATGAGTCTATCATTAAATACAGAACCCCGAGGCTTTAATGATCCCGAACTCCCAGTGATCTAACAACAACTAGCCACTTAATTATCAACAAGATAGCATGTCCTAGCCACAGAACCTTATTTTTCCTAAACGAGCTTAATCATATTCAATCAAATCAAATCAATTGATCTTGATGATCATACTCAGAAATCTAAACCTTCATACATGCTAAGTCTAGATTTCCAACAGTTCACAGGATGATGCAGACGGTGGATACTATGTCGATGGGTGTTAAACCTTGGATTTCGGCAAGAGTCTTACGAATTGAGCTTTGTGCGCGCCAAGACTTCGATAGCTAGTGTGCGGCTGACACTTTAAACAAAGGCCAACGATAGAAAGCGCCATAGTTCGTCTCCTGACGTTATTCTTTGGCATGGTTCATGTTGCCTGGGCACCTACTCCACTAGGGAAGGAGACATCTCCGACCAGATTTTGCGCGAATATAAGCTAGTTAATAATTTAGACATCTGGATAAATCAGGGTTTTTGAGGATTATCTCTCAGTGGATATCCACAGATGAAAGCTGACTTGTGTAAAAGAAAATGCCACCACAGTTTCGCAGTGGTGCCTGCAGATGAAATCTGTGTTATGCTGGTGATGGTCAGGACAACGATGCACAAGGGAAATAATCACAGAGAGTGAAAGAAGAACTTTCAAGGCGATTCCATCATGGGTAGAGGAACGCTGGAGCACTGTATGGAAAGTGTTTCTAGACTATACTGCCAGATGTAGTATTCAACAATATTCCGTGATACTATTTTGGAAGAGTAAGGTCAGAGTTTAGCTATCTCATGTGTGTATACAAGTAGCATTTCCTGCCTTCCACGTCCTTTTAGTTCTGGATGTCAAGTTATTAGCAGTTCACATTGATTCACCAATAAGCATCCCTAGACCTTCTGCCAATAAATCCTCCGTGAGACCTAACCTTTACAATTTTGTGAGAATTCACAGCACAAATATGCGAAGGTTACGTGGCCGAAAGGAATTGAGTCAGATCAAGAGAGCAGTTAACCAAAGGAACTCTCAACTATCTTCCCATTGTACTAACTAACGGGTTTGGAGTACAGGCGACACTAGAAATATCGCCATGGCTGGATGGTGCGGTGGTACATCGTCTCGGCCGGTCTGCCAAGTAGAGTCTGGATAGCTTGAACACATTTCCCACTTGAGACAGTAGATCGCTGATTCAAATTCGGCAAAACACAACTACATTTCTCGCGGCGGCGTCATACATTGATGATGAAGTTATCCTTGGAAAACCAAAGGTTTTTAATCGTCCCTTTGGTGGGTACTTACGGAGGAGGGTCGACTGTTTGTGTAGCGAACATACCTCATAGTGGTATTTGCGAATGAAATCCAGAGTATGAGTGTCTCTAACGTCAAAGGAGTCATCCAACATGGATCGTGGTGCCACGGTGTCAAGTTTGCAGTGGTGCTTTGGCAGGGCTTTTAGCGTATAAACTAAGACGCCTTAGGCATAGTCACCCTCCATATTGGGGTGAGCCCCCGTATTTGTGCAAATTTTTGAAAAATTTTGTATGGCAGTTTTTATCTGGACACCATAGTTTGCAGTGGGTCTTTCCTTCGTACTAAACCTAATGTTTATAATGATCGGCTGCATAACATTTGTGCATTTTTGCTACTTGACTTTTTAACTGATTTACAAGAGTTCAAAGGTTTTCAGATTACAAAATAGAGCCAGTCTTATCCTAACCTTAGATCTGAACATGTGGCTGGAATATTTTCAGGCCTTAATATCTTGTCGGTCCCCCATCCGCTTCTACCACAGTCTGACATCTTGCTGGCATACTCTGAATGAGTCTTACAAGATCTTCGGAAGACACGGAATCCCATGCCTCCTTTACAATGTTGCGAAGACTATCTTGAGTTCGCTGCTTTCCGCAACCCAGAATCGGATGATGACGCTGGATGTAATCCTTCATCTTATTCCAAACAGCTTCAATCGGGTTAAGATCATGCGAGTTGGCCAGCCAGAAAATCGGTTGAATGAGCCTCTGGCTCATATCTTCCATTGTAATTGCGGCTGTGTGGGTAGGAGCATTATCCTGCATTACGGAATGCCAAGTTCTCATCGAGACCATGCCATCGATAAGAGGAACTATCTTCTCGCAATCTTTCTGAGAGTTAATGGAACCCCATTCCTTCTCCCAAAACAAACAAGGGCCTTTTTCTGGCCCTGCGAAGCAACCTCAGAACAACCATCCCACCCTATTTTTCGATTTTTCTCCAATACAATCAGCGTTGTATTCTTGGGAAGTCTAGCTCATAATGTTAGAGCATCAAATTATCATCTTCTTATTGAGGAATATACGAATACTTCTTGTCACCCATTCTCTAGAATGTCTTCCATCCTCTACCCAAGTTTCGTCTGTCCATAAAACTGACATCCAGTCTTCATATGTCCAATTGAGATGAGCTTTGGCCCATTCTCTGCTTGTCTTCATAGTTTTCTGAGATACTGGCGGCTTTAGACGAGCCACATGTCGCCGATATCCTTTTTTTTAAAGTTCTCTTTGTATTACCCGCTCGCTAACACCAAGATGTCTAATGGGGCCAGAGGCGAGTTGCAGAAATGTTTTGCGGCGGTTTCCAGGTGAAGACTCAACGTGAGATATAATCTGATCAACATTATCTGCTTACAGCCTTGAGGATGTTCTTTTTATCTTTTTGGGTGACAGTTCCGCGGCGTAGTGAATGGCTAACTTGTCCCCGAGAAATGCCTAGTTGTGCGGCAATCTGCGTCTGGTTTATGCCAGATTCATGAAGCCCATAAATCTTAATTTTTCTTTTAATTTATGTTTATTCATATCTAATTTTTCTACTTACTAAAATGTTTTGATCTCTGGATAATTGTTTGATTCGAGGTGTTGAAGGTGGGGTTTGAGGTGGATTCATCTGTAGAATAAGGTTATTATCGAGTAGATCCATGTGTCTTCTGAATAAATAACTTTGTATTTGAGAAATCTAATTCTTATTGTAATTCAAGCACAAGGTGAGAAGAGCTATGTAATTTTTTAGCGGTCGGCGCTCATCAAAGCAATGGGAAAGAACTAGAGAGCGGGTTGGATTTGCATAAAACTGAGGGTAACATGAAATCAAATTGTGCCCTCGGTTTAGGCCTGGAAATACAGGATAAGAATTATGTACCCTGTCGAAATTGGCGCTAACAGGGGTGCAACCACTGTAGCGAATATGAGCCCCATATAAATCCGCCGAAAACTTGAAATCGTGGCACCACGGTATACATCGCACCGGTCATGTGTCATAGCTAGAATGCTGCATACACTTTACATTTAATTTTAGAAACTAAAGGGTTTAGTTTTAACATATATCTCCATGGCCCTTGTCACCCCTGACGAGTACATGAGGCTATTCTAGTAGCTTCTTCACTGCTCTCATGTACGTAATTACTAGTTTTCGTATGCCAGTTATTGATCTACATCTTGCATATGATCTGTACCCCAGTGCAACAGACATTCGTCTGCTTGGAAATCTGATGCTGGAGACATTGTCTTTCAAGACACTTCCGACATTTCAACACGTTGTTCGATTCTTTCGAAAAGTAGATTGGCCACGAGGCAAAAATGTCTGGAAACAGACAGGGACTATAAGCCGATGTGCACGTGCACGTGCCGCATACAGGTACGTCATTTCATATCGGGCCAGGCCAAATACCACAATAGATTCAAGCATGAAGATATTGAAGTCATGTGCGGATGTAGACGAGAACGACGTCTGTGGCACTTTTCAGAGTGCTGATTGGCCTAACAGCGTTGGAGAAGTACTTAACGGGGCCCTCCCCCAGGGGCAAGCGAGACGCTTAGGGATAGAGGATGGTAGAAATCCTCGATTTCGTTACTTTAGCGAAATGTAATGGTGGGAAAACGTTGGGCTGGGGGGGGGTAGGCTCCCACAGGGGTATCAGTTATGCTTATTAAAATGCTGTGAAAAATAAGACAGGGCGTAGGGCACTGACGTTTAGACACTCTGAGTAATTTTTCCTTCTCTCTGATTTCACAGTTCTTATGGTAATTAAAGCCATGCACACAAGTAACATTGAGTCCGTCGAGATCACATATCCGTATCACACTTCATGGGTGCAGGGCGTAAGCCTGGTACGAATAGCATTCAAATCAAAGCAGGTCACCTGGTGCCAGATTGGACGAGGCCGTATCCCTCACTAATGAACTTTCGCTTTTATTTTTGGGGTGAAGAGACAAGGGCTACATGTTCCCCCAGGTGAGCGCTGGATTGAAGACTTATGGCAGGTAGTATTCTGAGAAGAGGCTGTAAAAGGGGCAGGATAGATGCTATATTTTACATAGGACACTGGAGGGTATGTTCTCAACATCTGTCAATGTTGTTCTTTAAAAACCTCCAGCTCTCACTGTAGAGTCTGCACAGCCTAGATTGAGTAACAAAGTCCTCACTTCGACGAGGATTCCCAATCGCTTTCGCGGTCTGTATCGTCCTCATCTCTCAACACATTCCCCTATCACCATTATCATGAAGCTAACCACGATTAGATCAGATGGTAGGGTCGGAGCCCTACTCATCACCCATCCTTGATCATGGAGGAAAAGCCATCCGATGAGTTTCTGGAGCGTACCCAGCACCCGATACGGCGATGGTGGATTGGATCAAGTCGGCCTCGACTGTTACAAAGAAGGGAGATATAGATGAATATGCGCACCTCATGTGGTCCGGGTGTCTAGGCCTCGCCTGGCTGGGGCTGCAGGTTTTTTGAGACTTTTTCCCGCGCACGCAGTTTCCATTGCTACCATTTTTATTTTTTTTGGGTAGAAGGTTCCGTGGAAAAGGTGGCTGAATTCCACGGGTAAATACTGAGCTGAATGGCTATCCATTACGCGCAATACATCAATGATCTTTCAAGTAACAAAAGAGAGTATGAGCACTGTACAAGGTGTAGCCTGGGTCAGAGAGGAGCCCAATGTGCTAGATAGTCATAGACTCAAGTAGTACAATAAAACACAAACACACATACTAGATTCACGTTAGGCGGGGCTTGTGTTCGCCGGCAGGCCCTCAAGTCAAAATTTGACCCGTGCAAACTCCGAATTCATTTAGATAAACGGTGCCAATTGTGTTTATTGTTTATTGTACTACATGAATCACAAACTGTCGAATATCCTAATGACTTAATGATCGTTCATGTATCACCTTTAAAATTATGACAAGTTATGTTGATGAGTTACCCGTTTAGGAATAGCATTAGGAAAGAGGGAAAGCTGATGTATATTTGTGTTTCCTAGAAAGTTAGTGAATGAGTGATGTTTATTGTACTACTTGAGTCTATGACTATCTAGCACATTGGGCTCCTCTCTGACCCAGGCCACACCTTGTACAGTGCTCCTTGCCTCTCATGTTATTCGAAAGATCATTGATATGTTGCTCTTGATGCATAGCCATTCAGCTCAGTGTTTGTACGTGAAATTTGGCCACCTTTTTCACGGAGCCTTCTACCCAAAAAAAAAAAAAAAAAAAAAAAAGGTAGCAATGGAAACTGCGTGCGCGGGAAAAAGTCTCAAAAAACCTGCAGCCCCAGCCAGGCGAGGCCTAGACACCCGGACCACATGAGGTGCGCATATTCATCTATATCTCCCTTCTTTGTAACAGTCGAGGCCGACTTGATCCAATCCACCATCGCCGTATCGGGTGCTGGGTACGCTCCAGAAACTCATCGGATAGCTTTTCCTCTATGATCAGGGATGGGTGATGAGTAGGGCTCCGACCCTACCATCTGATCTAATCGTGGTTAGCTTCATGATAATGGTGATAGGGGAATGTGTTGAGAGATGAAGACGATACAGACCGCGAAAGCGATTGGGAATCCTCGTCGAAGTGAGGACTTTGCTACTCAATCTCGGCTCTGCAGACTCTACAGTGAGAGCTGGAGGTTCGTAGGGGACACCACTGACAGGTGTTGAGAATAGTCCCCCACGTGAATCTAGTAATTAGTATATATTCACGGATGAAGCTATGAAAAAGCAAAGACTGGTCTGAGTAATGATGGCTTGGCCATTTCAAGAATTCTCTCTTCCTTTTTTGTCGCCATTCGCTCTAAATGGGTATGCAATCATCACTTTCTATCGCTTCGTGCGATACCAACGAGATAGACATGTTCTGCGAGCTGATCCATGCCAGCTCCACCGATCCTACATTAAAATTAGACGAAGGGCTTCGGCTCAGCACCCAAGGAAAATTTAGTAAATAAATTTAGGGCTACTCAGTATTCGCAAACATGAACACCGAGGATATCAGCACCCACGATGATCTCGACCTCGAACTTACGCATGACATGTTTACTGAGCCGGCAGGCTATTACACAACGCCGCGGACGGCAACCAGCGAAACATACACACTATCCTGTGGCCGCACTCTTCACATTAACCTCGTCGGAGAGAATCCACTCTGGGGCCACTACCTCTGGAACGGCGCACGAAGAGTATCCACCTACCTTGAGGAACATCCAATGCTTGTGCGTGGACAGACCATACTCGAGCTTGGAGCCGGCGGCGGCCTGCCCAGTCTCGTGAGCGCTCACCTCGGCGCCGCGTGCGTGGTCATGACGGACTATCCCGATGCAGATCTTGTGCAGAATCTCGCACGCAACGCACAAGAATTCAATGGGGAGGTAGCACGAGCCGATGCTTTACCCCTGACTACGCTGATTGCCCAAGGCTTCTGTTGGGGCACGGACTGCGAAGAACTTTTGAAGCACCTGCCGGATGACGCTGGCGTACCGCAGGAGTCGCTCGGATACGATGTGGTGATTCTAGCAGATTTATTGTTCAATCACTCGGAGCACGCCAAACTACTGGCAACACTGCAGGGCACGCTCAAGAAAAAAGACCATGCAAAGGCACTGGTCTTTTTCACACCTTACAGACCGTGGCTCTTACCCCAAGACATGGCCTTTTTTGACCTAGTGCGAGCAGCTGGTATGAGCGTTGAGAAGGTGATCGAAGAGAAGACGGAGAGGGCTATGTTTGAGGAAGATCCTGGTGATGAGGAGTTGAGGAAGACAGTTTTTGGCTACATTGTCAAATGGAGTCTGTAGCTTTCTAAGCTTTACTTTTGTGCAAAACCAAGAATGTTGGCCTCAGCTTAAGCTTTCCACGGATCGTAGACTTTCTTTATATTACCATCTTCATAACAACCTGCGAAGGGTTGCGCTATTACTGAAATAGTTATGAGGCATGACAACCATTGCCCAGATTTGAAAAATTATCTTAACTGAATGAATGAATGAAAGTTTATTCGTGACGGGTACAAGCCTTGCACTCAATGAGCACGACACGGAGAAGACTAGCTTCTCCGACGACTATATACGACAATAACTCAGTTTGACATTTGGACTACTCATGTAGTGGGTGCACTCGCTGATACTACTCGAGACGTTGGTGCTAAGGACTTTCATCCTTCCCTCAACCGTTAAAATTCACCAGACGGAAAACAGGAAAAACCTTTGGCTACCCTAACATGCCTTTGCCATCTTGTATATAGCCCCCGCGCAAGATATGGCCTCACAGTCCTACCTTTCTCGAGTGAGGTAGGTATCCAGGCTACCCAGACTTTAACTCGGGGAGATGACCACTAGGAGGCGGACCAAAACACCTTCCATTGTTGCCAGTTTTTAGAGTGTCGGTAGCACTATCTGAAATCATTGCCTCTGCGCCCACAGGCACCCTTAAGTCGAAAATACTCGAATAATATGCGTCCCAGCATGCCCATTTGTGACCTCTTCACTCGTTCGTCTCACATCCCAGCTGTCTGTTCTCCCTCAAGATGTGAAGACCCAATAGAGCAACGGTCCCCCATAGACCAAGTCCCGAACTTTGTAGATTATGACTTGAATTCATCCTCGCGGGTATACATGGCATCGTAAATGTGTAGTAGGAGACGGCTGGTTTTTGATGAGGCAAATGCCCGATTGCAATTGGAGTAACACTATTAACGCTATTATCGGTATTTGAGGCGAGGTGGTGAAGTAAGATTGAGGTGGATGACTCGCGTGAGAATGATAGATCCGGCATTGACGAGAAGTCGTCGATTTTAGATGTGCTTGTGAGTGCTTTCGACTTCGATTTGGATGCTATTCTTCTTGGCTATCCCAGATATGCAGAGCATACTGAGCGATTACACCGGCATCACTGGAAGGTGAAGAATTCGTCTTTGCCGGCTTATCTTGACTGAACTTGTATTGTTAATAAAGATGAAAGCTTTTAAATTTTTCTTTTAAAACCCACGATTAATTTTCATATTACTTTTGCATTGATTAAATTTATTTATATTTAGCCGGCACAAGTTGGCGACATTATCTAAACCACCAATTTACACTAGCGATTACCTCTCCTTCTACTCCCTCCTTCAAGCCTCGAATCGTATGCCACCAGCCCTCAGGAATAAAGAGACTATCCCCAGCCTCCAAGTCCACCTCCATCCCCTCCCACATCTGCTCTGAACCAGGTCCCCAAACAGTCCGCTCCAACTCAACTCTCTCAAATCCCTCCATCATTTCCCGCCCTCTTATCGTTCCCCTAGAATCAGTATCACCCAAAGACAATCTTACTTCACGGAAAATCTCAAGGCCAACCTTTGGCGAGTAGAGCCGTACTCGTTTTCGACCAGCCAGCTGGCAAAATAAATTAGGATTTGGATCTTTATGCAACGGCGTATACGTTGGTGGGTTGCCCAACCAAAGGTTGGCATCATAGATGTCCCCTCGACCAGCCTCTCTCACGATATGAGGTACTGGGAGGTCTTTTTTTAACTCTTCCGGTAGTTGTTGGAGTGAGGCTTGCGCAACATAGAGGCCGACGGCAGAGCTGTGTAAAAGCAGCGAGAGCGGCGCGTGGAACTGGTGGAAGCAGTCGGAAGGGGCAGCATTGCTCGGATGAGGCTGTGGAGTGTATACAGCCATAAGGAGATCGGCGAGAGAAGATTGAGCAGGACCTATGATCTCATAGGGCACAAGCGTATGAGCAAAGGGACTGAGGTATTGGGACGAGAGGGAAGCACTGTGTCTACCCCGACATACAAACCATTTATTTATAGCCGGTAGAAAAGTTGGTAGAGATTCTCTCAGAGTCTGGGTCTTCTGATTTCTTCTAGTAAAGAGTAAAGCTTTAGCTGGATATAGGGCTCTGTTACGAAATTCAGAAGTGGTAATGGCGTCAACTGTTTTGGCAAAGATATCTACTTCTTGTAGTGCCCGAGGTAACATCAAATGGGTCGTTGGCCTCATTGGTCAGCATGCGTTTTAGACTGTATAGTTTCAGATGCGTCCTGATGATGTTGGGGCTAGAGGGATAAACAGATATGTGCAGATATTGTTTGGTCTCGGGAGACGCTAACCATATTTAGCCGAGCCACATTGTTTTACCCTGACTGTTGACTTGTTATTGGAAACCAGATGTAATTCTGGCAACAGTTACAGAAATAAGAAACTAAAAAAAGGTCTTCTAGCCATGAGATGGAATGCGTAATAAATATGTTTTCTCATGCTTTGATTAATGGCTTTTTTCATTTAGGTCGAACTCCCAACTCCAATGGCAACAATGACAGGTGTAGATGTGGAATGCGAAAAACCCTGGATCACCTACTGCTCAGCTGTAGTAGTTACAAACATAAACGAAAAGAAATTGCAGAGAAACTAAATGGAAACAGGCTGACATTGAAGCTGATGCTACATACCAAAGTAGGCATAGAAAATTCAATTGATTTCATTGAAAGCACTACGATATCAACTAGGGCTTGGAATACGGAGAGAAATTGTTGGAATAGCATCTCTAGCTTGGTTTACTTGTAGTTGGTGGTTCTTGGTTTACATGCAAATGATTTCCTTCGTGTTGTGGATTTCGTCATTCGGATAATACTTTATCCGAACATAATTAATATCTTGTAGCATCATTGTAAACTAGATAAAGAATGAACCATAAATGCGCATTTCTTCTGAACGATAGTTCGAAATACTCACACAAATACTCTCATAAATTTAAGTGAACTAATAGACTTTTAGTGTATGACCTTTTTCATACCAACAGAAATGAAGGGAACCTTAGGTAGGAAGAGTAATGTCCAGCATGTCAGGTGAAAGGATTATTGGGAAAGGAAATTAGAACAAATTGATTAATATATACATATATATACTTGGAATGGCCCCACTGTCTATGAGAACACCAGTTGAATTGATTATAAAAAATACTCCAATGTAGCTAGACTTTATCACATAGATCTAGAAGTACTCTATAGTCTTAGACCTAGATAGGACTATAAAATAAATCCAATCCCAACTCTAATTACTTTGACCTGAATGAAAAACTGAAAGAGCCCGCGCGCGATCAGCTCCCATTGACTAATGGTAATACACCATCCTCCATTATAGCGCCAACCACGATTTTTCTCCAAAACAAACGGCGTCTGGAATAATTAACCCACTTTAGTTGTCGTTCTAAACCCTGGAATTCTGGCCTGTAGGTACTGTGGACCTGCACGTCCTACAGAATCATAGACTCAGAAAGGACAATAAAATGAAATTATTAAGTCCAGAAATCTCTCTAGTTTAAGTCACTGACAAAGTTAGTGATACTACCCAGAGGAGACGTAGCTCAGAGATCTAGGAGACCCTCATAGGTTTAAATGTGATAGCGATAAGAACAACCAACCACATAAATCCTAAAACTTCTGATTTCAACAGTATAGAGAGCGTGTGGCGCCTGGTCTAGATTTATACTCCCTATGTTAAGCCTTGACACTACCAGAGCTTCTTATGAGTTTTCTGACGATAGTAAGATGTGGATCCTGTAACGTGAAGGTTTTACGGACCAGATGATCAAATATATTGAAAGCATTATTTCTAAGGGACGCATTAATATTAGGTTCACCGGGTAAATCAGCAACTGGATTCAGACAGTATCCAGGATTTTACAAGGGTCTCACTTGTCACCAATGCTTTTCTTACTCCTATGGATCGGAACTCCTAGAGGCTCTATAGCAACCAGGTCATGGATAAATCGGGGTTGGATGCATAGATCATACTACAATAATTACGCGGGGAAGTGAGTAAGTAAGTGAGTGTTTATTGTCCTAATAAGCTCATGACTATGTAAGGACATGTAGGTCCTTTCTGCCTACAGGCCAGGAGTATTTATGTCTCGGGTAGTGTCCTCCCTCCTATGCCTCCTTCACGACTTCTTTCCAGCAGTAATACCCCCACAGGTCTTCACTCGAGTACACACTAAGAGGAGCCGTTATTCCGTCATCATCTCACCTCTCCAGCCAACAAAGCAATGGCCATTTGCGGGTGTGTAGCTGCTGGGAAAAGTCTCAAAAGCCACTGGGTGCGGGGTTCTCCTGTGACGAAGAGGCCGGCCAGCCGGGCGTAGCAGACCTGTGTATACCTAAGAGCGTCTCTCAACCTTCCTGGCCTCTTCCTTACTTCTCTCCTAATTCATGCCGCAGGATAAACTGAAGGTTGGGAAAGAATGTCAGGAAAGTCTTGGTCGAGAGTGACTACCGTGAAGGACCTAGAATCAAAAGTCGTTACGGACGCGGGCTTGTCGAGTAACTCATGTATTTCAGATGCCCTACTGACTAGTAGATTCGGAGGTATAGATTAGAAGGAAAGATAATGTAGACGAATCGAAATCTGCCATTCTTGAGTGCGAAAAAGTCTTTAACTTTGCTTTCTGGGCTTCTTGTTCATCCGCCAGTGGGTAGCAGATGTTGTGATATAAAGAGGGCTTCTCTGACTACCGTTATAGCGTATGGTACCGAAATATTCTTCACCGTTGCCATCACATTATAGTCGTCTTGAGTGTTATCAGAAGCGTACCTTTGAATGAATTGGAGATAATCCAGCTCAAAGTTGAAAAGGTGTTGCTCAATCTCGGCTCTGCAGACTCTACAGTGAGAGCTGGAGGCTCGTAGGGGACACCGCTGACAGGTGTTGAGAAAAGTCCCCCAACAGGTCTATGAAGACTATGCTGCGACTGACATTTTCGAGGGGTTTTCAACTTTGGATTTTTTGTGGGCGCTAAGACCAAGGTTTTAGCCAATTAGCTAGGAGGAATTCGATTGTCGACGAGTGAACGGCACTGCTCAGCGCCCTGTGTGGCACAAAAGAAGTTGGGCTAAGCTACCACAGCAATCACGCTCTGTCTAGACCTTTGACATTTCAGCACGACCTTTGGGGAGGAGTTGGAAGGAGGCTAGAAAGGCAGAGTGTGAATTTCTCGAGGTACTCACAGTCTGCAGCACCCAGCTGGCTGGCCTCTTCGAACGCTTCAGATGGGTCACTATGTCTTCGGATTTAGTCCTAATATTGGTATTAGAAGAGCTCCGCACCCATTGTATTTTACGATTTTTCCCGGCCGCTGTACACCCGCAAATGACCATCATTTCGTTGGCTGGAGAGGGGAGATAATGAAGGGCAATAGGCCCCTCTAATTGTATGATGGAATGAGGACTTGTGAGGTGTGGTACTGTTTGAGGGGAGCTGTATGGGAGGCATAGTAGGGGATAGAATACAGGCACAGATATCCTTGGCTTATAGGTAGAGAGAACCTGAATGTCTTATATAGTCATAGTGTTGGATAGACTACGGTGTGGTTTCACGATCGATCGTAATGATCCAGTAAAGAGTTGTACGATTCTGTGTTGGTCTAAAATGTTCATAATTGTCTTCTCTACTACGCTATACAGGATTCACAGGTATACTGTGGATCCGGGTTGGATGGTGCAGCGGTACACCATCCGGGCCGTTCTTCCAAGTAGATACTGGGTAGCTTGAACACCTACTCCATTCGAGACAGGAGAAAGCTGGTTCGATTCCAGTCAGACCCACACACCACACTCTCTCGCGGTGATATTGTACTTGTGGGATGATGGAAGTACACTCGGATAGCCACAGATTTTTCACGCTTTTCCCTGTGGTGGGTATGCGCGGAAGAGGTTATACGCCGTAAGGGTTAACCTCGGGTAGCGTCTGCAAATGAAATCTGAGGGTGAGTGTTCTAAATGTCAAATTAAGTCATCCTACTTAAGTACATACCCTCCGATAAAACCTGCATGGACCTCAAGGCGCCAAATCAGGAAAAATAAATATTACAAATATTCTGTGGATCCTAGCTAGCGCATCCATGCTGAAGTCATCATGTGATCCCCACATGATGACAAATCAACTTTTACGTTTTAGACAAGCCGACACATAGACTCAGAGAGGAAAATAAGATGAATTACAAAAAGTGCCATCACCTGATCTTCCTCTGGCCCGCATCGATCGTGTGCTCAGCAACCCAAATTCTCACAGCAACTACTCATAAACTATTGATACCTAACAGTTTTCCTTCCATAAACCTACTCAAAAATTTGAGCTTGTTCTCCTTCACGAGAATAGGGCGTCTCCGGGCCGCAAAAAAACGCGGTGTGTCCGAGACCTTGGATGCCACGAACCGCATCCATAAACATGTTAGCAATTCAGGGCGTGGAGAGTTATCAGCCGCCGTACTGGCCCGCTTAGCTTCAAAAATTTCCGCATCAATATCCAGTATTTATGTATCACAGAGTCCACTTGTTTTGCAGCCCCACCTGAGTCCTCTCGACGCTGCTATGAACTCGGATGCGCAGTACCCATCAATCTTGAGCAAGACACCTAACGCCACAGCACCACCGGATCGAATTCCATCTGATGAGGATTTAAATCAAGGTATTGGGGCAGATGAAGCCAACCAACAAAAAAAACACCAACTAGAAACATAAAAAGAGGCCCCGGAGGATAACCAACAGACGACTAATCTCGTGTCAATGGCCAGAGGCCTTTTGAACATAGTCGGTCCTTACCTAGAAGATATGGAAGATATATGCCCTGGTGCCGGAGCTGATTTTCTTGCTCTCATATCAGATAGAGTGTCCCGAGAGATTCGAGGCGAGAATATATAGGGATAGCATGGCTAACTCAGTGAGAAGAATCGCCGATGACAATCAAAAAAGTAACACCTGGGCAGTTAAGTCGGTAGCTGGGAATGTGAATAGCGGGAATGTGGACCTTCGCAGATCCCCTAGAAGGCCGGCGCCCCCACAGCATCAAAGCAAGGAAGATAAAAGGATAATGATCCGCCTAGACAGTAAACATGAGGCACATAATGCCGAACTGTTTATACTCCGAAAACAAGTCCAACAGCCTGTCTCTGATCCATCGCTATTCGTTGATGCATGGCAGGTCCCATCAGGAATTGGAGTCTTGGAATCTAGCTCAGCCAAAGCTGCAAGCATCCTTCAGCGTAAGGAGGCTATTGCTACAATATTTGGAAATGTAATTGTGGAGTGATATAAAATATGGACCACCTTTGTTATTTGGCCTATACAAAAAGAATCACCACTTTGGATGGGGTAGTAGACCCAGTTGACGGTCTTCTAGAAATGGAACCAGCTATAGTAAATATCAGGGATAATATGCCCATTCATCATGTCGCGTAGACGTATCGTCAACAGAATCTTCGAGCTCGATATGATTTATCCGAGTACACGTTCCAGAGGCTAATGCTCACAAATTCCCACCTAGAATACAGCTTTTTGGAGAAGCAACAGGCGTCCAACGTGTGCTATAAAGAAGATAACTTACAAACTGCAACAAATGCTTTGGATTTCACTCGGTTAAGACTTGTGCGCGCCAATGCAAATGTGAGTCTTGCGGAAAAGAATCTCACGAGGGTTCGTGTATCCATCAAGTTCAATGCCTAAATTGTCGTGACTCCCACAAATCTACTTTTGCTTCTTGCCCTGCCCAGCCACGAAAAGATCATGGCGTTTTTATCCGATCAACAGGAGACCAAATGCGCCACATCCTTGCAGCAGGACATAAAGAGCTCGCCCAATCTATCAAATACACCCAGGACTCCCCAAATCCAGCTTCTCGGGGCTCGGCCGAATCTTTTATTCCCTCCAGCTAATTATGGTGAGGAGGCACAAATCGTTCAAAAAACCATTTGTCCGCATTATGCAGGCGAGTGTGGGAAGAGGCGCAAACGCGCACACTATCGCGCTTAAACTTGCGTATGACAATGAAATTGTCATCCTTTTGGTTCAAGAGCCTTGGACTTTAAGAGACCTTTCTACAAGACGGTTGATATCGAACCCAAATTTCTTGTGCTTCTCGCCCCTCTCTGAATGACACTCGCGTTCTAGGGCCAGACTTACGTTCGATAATCGCAGGGGCTGCACCCATGTTAGACTGCTATAAATATTTCTCCGGACTGTGTACAAATTGCTATTGAAGGGGGGTGTGGACGTAAAATAATTGTATGGAATGTCTTCAATGCCCCGACCAACTGCATAGGAGTTGGAAACGGTCTAAATGTGCTCTTTATCACCACAGACCCGCTTGACTTCGTTGCCAGCGATTTCAATCTGAGACACACAGCCTGAGATTCGTACGTCACTTATAATTCTTCAGAGGCAACGGCGCTGATAGATTGGGCAGGGTGTTAGAACCTCTGCCTCCTTAATCGGACGGATGTTCCGACAAAAAACAGGGAAGGCACCCTCGACCTCGCTTTCTGTTCTACCAAGGGCGCAAAACGTGAAATACCGTCTGAAATAAACAGGACATCTGATCAAGAAACTTTGCTCACAACTTTTTCTGTCTGCGGGAATCTAGCAGAAGTCAGATAAGAGCGGCTACGCTACAGCTATCAGAACGATAATCGCTTCAGGGCTCTACCAGGAGATAGGTGGGACCCTCCCTCACTGGAAATAACATCTGACATAGAAACCGAAGCTAGAAATATCATTTAAACTATACAGACGGCCCTACTTGCATCTTGCCCCCGCGGTAAGGGCAAACATTGGGGATCTGCCTGATGGAATGAGGAGTGTAGAGCGGTGGCGTGTATATATCATGCGGCTAGACGGTCTAGTCGTTCCAATTTAGAGAAGCGAGAGCTTCAAAATACAGTCAGACGGCCCAAAACAGCATTCTAGGGGGCTCAGATCGAGATGTGAAAGTCCTAAGGGATGTATACAAAATAGTAAATTGGCACTATTCTGCTCCGTATTTTCATCCCCCACCATTTAAAGGAGATGATAGAATCGCTGACATACATCGCCCGAATCAAAAAGCTGCTCTCATACACAGAGTGCTGCTCTCTCGAGAAGTGGAAGTCTCAGATATATCTCGAGAGGTACCGACAGTTGCCAGGTGTCAGGATTGCCTTCTGTATAATCTATATATTCGGAGATAACCAGTATTTAGTGTTCAATAATTCTGGTCTGGCCTTTTGGCCAAGCGGCTATGCACCTATCTCATGCACAATGTAGGATGGCACATCTTAGCCTGATTACTACCTCTTTGAGTCAAGTCTCCGCCCCGCTGTCTATATGCTGTTCTGACACCAGAAGAGCTATACCTTGGGATCCGTTCACTGAGAAGGAGGCATTTCGGGCTACTTGCCAGATTACGTCATCCTCACCTGGAGGAGATGGAATATTAGCCCCGGTTCTCCGAATAGCATGGACAATAATAAGACGGCTGGTCCCGGGCTTATTCATCAAATGCGCTCTGCCTGAGGTACAACCACGAGTCTTCAGAGGAGCTGAAATAGTTGTCCTGCCAAAGACGGGGAAGCGGGACCGCACGCTTCCGAAATCATATCGCCCGATAGCTCTTATAAGTTGCTTATGAAAAGCTCTCAGACGCCTTTTTGCGAGACTATTTTCTTATTGGATACTCAAAGGCGAGATTCTCGCCACAGATCAATGTACTACAATTAGCAGGCGCTGTGCGATAGATCTAACGACCGCACTGCTTTGTGACGTGAAAGAACTTGCGTCAGGCAAAGTTGCTGGTATGATTACTGTTCACGTTAAGGGACGTTTCATGGAGTACTACGCAACCGGTTGAGATCTCAAGGGTAGGCGGAAAACATCACCAGTTGGGTCAATTCCTTTCTATAGGATCGGACAGTAAGATTCCGACTTGATCAGACAATATCAGACTCATTTCAGCTCTCATGCGGGCTGCCTCAAGGATCCCCAGCCTCCCCGATTATTTTTCTGCCTCATGTAGAACCAGTTCTACTGATTTCAAGGAAGCGATATGGATATACGGATGATATAGCAATGATGGAATCAACTCGGAACCTTGAAAAGTGCGGCCAGAAGCTACAGGTAAGCTTGGACCTAGCGCTGCAATGGGGTCGTAAGAATGGTGTGCAATTTCAGAACATAAAGATTGAGATACAATATTTTCACCAAAAAAGAAAATATACAGAACCCCCCCTTTTGGTAGAATGGATTAAATTATACCAGACAAATATACGAGATGGCTTGGAATAATTCTCGATAGGAAACTCTCATTCAAAGAACGTATGCGCAGAGCCTGCGCAGGATCTGCCAGCAATGCCGGGTCGTAACAGACCTCGTAAAACGAACCAACAACACGGTTAAAGGGGCTCACACAGCCTTGATTAGACAAGCGATGCTAGGTGCAGGATTCTCGAAACTTCTTTACGTTGCCGAAATGTGGTTTGGGCCAAAAACTTCTGCATGGACAATCATAAAAGTACAGGGTGCAATGAGTCGCACAGCTAGAGCAGTCCTACCTGTTTACAAAACTACTCCCATCCCGACTCTTTTCCATGAGCTGGGCTGAAGCCCGGCTACACTCTGGCTGGGACAAATTTACGACCGCCTAGTAGTGTGGGTCGCCGCCGCTAACCCGAAACACCTATTAAGTATCCGATGGAACTCTTTTCACTTCCTGTGGATCAGACGTCAACTGCCTTTAGAACTCTCCCTAAAATCTCCAGGACCGCCATGTCAAAAGATGGACCGGGTCGCAGTAAAGGAAGAAATCTATTGTATTAGCTAGGCTATATAGGAACAGGACGATGGACACTATTGGGGGATTTATGCTCACAGTAGGTCTCGTTAATCGCTATCACGTGTACTCTCGTGATATATAAGACTTGTATTTATATTCTCATATAAAAGAAACTTAGCTGAGAGAGTGAATGGAGGTTGAAACCTCCTTTTATGTTGCTTCAGTCTTACTGTGTTGCCTAGTGCTGAATATTCCCTTGTGATATCATTTCTCTCCTACGAGAAATGACCACTCGCTCTCCCTCAATCCATCAGTCTCTGTCTGATTCCATTACCTCTATTCTATCGAGTTCTAGTTGGGTCTATAATACCCACATATGCATTACACACTAAACACCCCACGGTTTAGTTCCAGGGTTACGTGAGTCTATTATGACGTGACCTAAAGCATTTACCATGGCAATTTATATGGATAACTCAACAAAATCAGCGCCGTTGGCCATAGTGACGGGACAGAATGCTAGAAATTGTCAGGGATTTCTAGGCGGAAATATCTCGAAGAACAAGTGTAAAATATCGGACATGTTGAAATTATGGAGTACAGATATAAGTCAGGTGATGGTTAATGGAAGTAATTGATGAAGGGTTTGGTTGTTGAGTTTTCTATTATTTCTGTGTTGGGATACACTTTATCGATCCTACTAGGCTCGATAATCAGTAGTCCCGACCGACTGGTGTTTGGCGAATGGAGATTGCGTATACCCTGTGCTAGCGTTGTTTACTGCTGTTAATAGGAGATCCCGCACGGGCTATCTATTGGGGTTAAAAGGAGTCTGGTACCTGTGTTTAATAGAGTAGTCGAATTGACATCCTTTTATCCTTCATTATTGCATAAGCTTCCCTTTACCAATAAAGTCCACGAAATAAGTAGTGGGTTATACATTTCAATAGGACAAGAATTTATTGATAGTTGTACGGAATATCAAACACTCTTCTGGGTATGAACTAATAATATATAATGTTTCGTTGACTTAGTTTAACATATATAAATGTGTCTATCCTTAAATACAGATCCCCGAGCTCCCAGTGATCTAGCAGCAACCAGCCACTCAATTATCGCAATCCAGATACCGCTGAACTGCTATTTTTTTCGCATCAGATTTTAATTGCGTATGCAGCTATCTAGCTATGACACAATATCAGAGAAGTGTATAATAGATGACTCAATTTACGAGAGGAGCACTCATGCCTCGGATTTCATTTGCAAGTACCACGGCGAAGTTATGGTGGCTTTTTCTTCACCCCAAGTCAACCCTCATCCGTGAATACCCACCCAGGGGAACGTCTCAAAAACCCTGAGTTATCCAGACATGCCTCCGTCATCCATCAACTTTTCTCCGCGCGAAATATGATCTAAGGCGTCTCCTTCCCAAGTGGAGTAGGTGCCCAGGCTACTCAAACCATACCAGAGAACACCACCAGGAGGCGGACCACAACACTTTTCATCGTTTGCTTGTTTTAATAGTGTCAGCTGCACTCTCGCAAGCGAAGTCTTGGCACGCACAAAGCTCAATTTGTAAAAACTCCTTGCCAAAATTCCACGCCCGTAGAGACTGTATCCATCCTTCGTATCATCTTGTGAACTTGTCCTGATTCCTCTCACGTCCATCCCAAAGAGCTTTCTCCCAGATTTGTGCGCCACACTTTGCTTCCTCCGTCGGGTGTAAATTTCGGCGTGGGCGTGTATTCGGTGACCGGCTGAGGCCAGAGAAGGTCGGCGAGAGGTGTGGTCATTGGAATGAGGATGTACTAGGTCGTACTTGTAAACTTGATGAGGCTTAGGTAGGATTCGATCTTTTTTGGAATGAAAATTTGACGTGGTGGAGTTATTTGAATCATTGCCTCGTGGGCCAACTTGTTCGGTATTGCAAAATTTGACTAAACTTGGCTCGGGGAGAATATTTCACTCCCAGGTTCGTAGAAGGCACCGCGTACAGGTGTTCAGTCTTGCCCTCCCCTGGTGGTGTTCTCTGGTATAGTTTGAGTAGTCTGGGCACCTACTTCACTTGGGAAGGAGACGCCTAGGACCACATTTCGCGCAGAGAAAGGTTGAAAGATGATGGAGGCATGTCTGGATAACTCAGGGTTTTTGAGACGTTCCCCTGGGTGGGTATTCATGGATGAGGGTTGACTTGGGGTGAAGAAAAAGCTATTGAAAGGCTATGCTGAGCTGGAATGACGTACAATTAAGATGAAGGTATGGAAGGAGGTAGCTATGGCTTTAAGAGAAGTAAAGTCCGTGAGCTATACTCTTAGGACTTGGATCAATGGACGAACTTGAGGATATTCCCTAGTATTCTCAAGTATGTAAATAATATGGAGATTGTTTGAATTTCCTATTGTATAAATTGCTTGATTTATCTACGTGACAGGACCTTCTTCTATGTACATGAATAAGGGGGTTCTGCACATTAGTGTATGTTCCAATATCTGTCCTTTTTTTTTTTTAAATCATTTAATGTGTATTCAGCTATCTAGCTATGACACATGACCGGCGCTATGTATACATGTGGGATGACTCTTTTGAAGTTAGAGACACTCATACTCTGGATTTCATTCGCAAATACCACTATGAGGTATGCTTGCTTACACAAACAGTCGACCCTCCTCCGTTAGTACCCACCAAAGGGAATTTAAAAACCTTTTGTTATCCAAGCATGCCTTCGTCATCCATGCATACCAGCGCCGCGAGAAATGTGGTTGTGTTTTGCCGGATTCGAACCAGCGATCTACTGTCTCGAGTGGGATATGTGTCCAAGCTATCCAGACTCTACTTGGCAGACCGGCCAAGACGATGTACCACCGCACCATCCAACCATGGCGGTGTTTATAGTGTCGCCTGCACTCTCGCAACCGAAGTCTTGGCACGCACAAAGCTCAATTTGTAAAAACTCCTTTCCAAAATTCAAAATTCCACGCCCGTAGAGACTGTATCCATCCTTCGTATCATCTTGTGAACTTGTCCTGATTCCTCTCACGTCCATCCCAAAGAGCTTTCTCCCAGATTTGTGCGCCACACTTTGCTTCCTCCGTCGGGTGTAAATTTCGGCGTGGGCGTGTATTCGGTGACCGGCTGAGGCCAGAGAAGGTCGGCGAGAGGTGTGGTCATTGGAATGAGGATGTACTAGGTCGTACTTGTAAACTTGATGAGGTTTAGGTAGGAATCGATTTCGTTGGGAGTGAAAGATTGATATGGTGGAGTAATTTGAATCATTGCCTTGTGGGCCAACTTGTTCGGTTTTGCGAAGTTTGACTGCACTTGGCTCTGGGAGAAAATTTCACTCCCAGGTACGTAGAGGACACCGCGTACAGGTGTTCAGTCTTGCCCTCCAACATCTGTCCTTGTTTAGCCGAGAAAGGAAGGATGTGAGTGATCCTAGCGCCAATAGATACCAATAAGAATCTATTGGGAAATACTATGTCATACCAATGAGTGATGATTTAGGTCAATCATATCCCATGGCGCATGTGCACATTATTCTAATGTGAACAGTTTATTGTAATGCAGTTATGTTACTCCCTTAATTACAACAAAAGCCACCATAACTTCGCAGTGGTACTTGCAAATGAAATCTGAGGCATGAGTACTCTTCTTGTAAATTGAGTCATCTATTATATACTTCTCTGATATTGTGTCATTGCTAGATAGCTGCATGGGGGACTATTCTCAACACCTGTCAGTGGTGTCCCCTGCGAACCTCCAGCTCTCACTGTAGAGTCTACACAGCCTAGATTGAGTAACAAAGTCCTCACTTCGACGAGGATTCTCAATCGCTTTCGCAGTCTGTATCGTCTTCATCTCTCAACACATTCCCCTATCACCATTATCATGAAGCTAACCACGATTAGATCAGATGGTAGGGTCGGAGCCCTACTCATCACCCATCCTTGATCATGGAGGAAAAGCCATCCGATGAGTTTCTGGAGCGTACCCAGTACCCGATACGGCGATGGTGGATAGGATCAAGTCGGCCTCGACTGTTACAAAGAAGGGAGATATAGATGAATATGCGCACCTCATGTGGTCCGGGTGTCCAGGCCTCGCCTGGCTGGGGCTGCGGGTTTTTTGAGACTTTTTCCCGCGCACGCAGTTTCCATTGCTACCTTTTTTTTTTTTTTTTTTTTTTTTCGGGTAGAAGGCTCCGTGAAAAAGGTGGCCAAATTTCACGTACAAACACTGAGCTGAATGGCTATGCATCAAGAGCAACATATCAATGATCTTTCGAATAACATGAGAGGCAAGGAGCACTGTACAAGGTGTGGCCTGGGTCAGAGAGGAGCCCAATGTGCTAGATAGTCATAGACTCAAGTAGTACAATAAAAACACACACACAGTAGATAGCTGCATACGCAAAAAAAATCTGATGCAAAAAAAAAAACGAAGAAGCTGCCCTAAGTCTACACACCGGGCACCGAATAACGTCAAGCTCTAAAAAAATGCGCGAGTTTCAGGCACTGAAAAAGAGCTGACCCACGACTACACGCGCGCCAGGGATAGCACCCGGAATAGTCAGAGCTAGATTGGACCCGTGACATGCGGGCACACGAGGAAACGAAAAAGCTGACGCTCTAGCGAAGATAGCCTTCAGGGAACCTGCCATCCGTAGTGAAGCGCCTCAAGGAACGATTCGAAGCTGGCATGCGGGCGTTCTGGCGAAATAATGCTCCTAAGCGGTACAAGTTCTTCGGACTACAGATGACAGAAAGAATGCCGGAAGAACTTCGATCTCTCCCCCGGAGAATTCTGGGTGATCTACTAGCGGCGCGCTCAGGACACGACGACTTAACCGCCTATGAGAGGAAATTTAGACAAGACGCAGCTCACGTGGGCGATTGCGGGGAAGAAAAATCGCCCGAACATGCCTGCACGAGCCGGAAATTGCGCGGGACGCGTAAGCCCCGTCCTCGATTATCATGAGGTCTCGAGGGCAATGTAAAGTGGACTTTGGGGTCAAAAGTTGGGCCAAGAGTATTTGAAAAGTGGCGCAAGAGCAAGCAACCATACGGCGAGGGTAGGAGGCGCCAATTTCTGGATTGGTCTGGTTTGCGTTCGAGATGTTTGGAGTATTCGGCGGTTAGGGCAATTCTCTCCTCTACGAGAAAAATTTAGGCCTTTTTTTTTGTGGGTAGATGGTTCCGTGGAAAAGGTGGCTGAATTCCACGGGTAAATACTGAGCTGAATGGCTATTCATCAAGGGGAATATATCAATGATCTTTCAAGCAACAAAAGAGGCAGGGAGCACTGTACAAGGTGTGGCCTAGGTCAGAAAGGAGCCCAATATGCTAGATAGTCATAGACTCAAGTAGTACAATAAACATACACACACAAAGCACTTTTTGAAGAATTGGCTCACGCTGCAGTGGATCTTGGCTTAGCGCTAAGCTGCTGGTGCAGATAGAATAGTTTTTGTTCGGTAGGACGATATACACGCCTAGCAGCCTTAGGTCGGGCCTTGCCCGCGAGCCTACTTGGCGTTAAATGAAAACTAACTGACGCGAATTCTCGTTTAAGTGCCTCGTAGCCCAGCTCCCTACAACCCTACCATCGCCATCAGCAACATGACCACGGTAGCTCAGCCCATTGAAGACTTGATAACATGGGCGAAGCAGCGAGGCAGCCACCTCGCACCGAGCGTCGGCATCGCTCACGATCCCGCCTGGGGCTGGGCGTGGATCGCGGAGGAGGCGATTCCTGCTGGCTCCGAACTTGTCAGCGTCTCGACTAACACGGCCCTCTCCTACCTCAATACGCTCGATACGACTTCAGCCCTCTTCCCTAGCCACGACTCCCGCGCCTTTTCACGGCCCCATCTCAGTCGCTTGGGGGCCGAGTGTCCGCATGTTGTCGGTAACTACTTCCTCATGCAACAGTATCTCGAGGGCGACCAGTCTCTGTGGTGGCCGTATATCCGCCTCCTACCCCAGCCTGACGCCGTTGCCAACTTCAGGATGCCCTTATGGTGGCCCGAGACTGATCATGTCTTCCTGCAAGGCACCAATGTGTACCCTGCCATGGAGGCCACCCGGAAACTCTGGGCCCACGATTGGCAGAGGGGCAAGGATCTTGTGCACACATTCGATAATTCATCGGATTTTACCCTGCGCCTCTATGAATGGGCCGCTACCATCTTTAGTACGCGAAGTTTTCGGGCTTCCTTGACCATTCCTCGTGCCTTTCCCCATGATCATGAAGAATGCCTGCCTGTCGAAGAACCGATGGTGCGGGAGCACATCAGCCAAGATAATTTCTCTGTCTTGCTCCCTCTCATGGATATCGGAAATCACTGTGAGGATAAGCTCGTGGATTGGAAAGGAAATCTTGCCTCTGACCAGATTACACTGGTGAATCTGAAAAGCATCGAGTCTGGATCTCAAATATACAACTATTATGGCGACAAATCAAATAGTGAGCTCTTGCTCGGGTACGGCTTTATCCTTCCCAACCCTCGCCTCGACACTGTCAATATTAAACTCGCGCCCCAGCCCGATGCACTCGAGCGTCGGCAGCGGCAGCTATGCTTTACGCGTCCCGCTGGTAAGACGCTTGAGCAAGAGCTGATGTTCTGCGTTCACCCAATCTCGTCTAGCCCTGACGCAAACGAGAATGACAGTGATCCCTCGTCTCTGTTCTCCTCGGGCCTCCTCGATCTTCTCTCTTGTATTGTAGCGAATGAGAGGGAACGGCGGCATATGTCGAGTCATGGCGACTGTTGTCTTGAACACAACCCGGCTCGTTTCAATGAGGTACTGGGCCGGAATGCCGTCCAGACCTGGCAGCTTCTCCATCAGAAGCTGCAGGCTGACATGACGAAACTTCAGACGACGGAAAAACTTCTGAGGTATTTTTTCTCCGCTCTGAATCTTCTAAGGCGCCTCCTCTGATGCCCACCCAAAAGCTCTCCTCAAAATACAAATCAGGTCATGGCTCTGGAATATCGAAGGCGTCAGTTTCACGTTCTACAAGCTGCCGCACACCGTCTCTCTCTCTATCTCGATCGTGTGCGATTAGAGAACTTGTTCGATTGGCAAGAATCCAAACAGGTGGAAAGACAGGAGGCAATCGAGATACGGCCGAGAGTCGAACTTGCGTCGCTAGAATGGGCCTACGAATGGCTCCGCCAGTTTCCTGGCGTCTACGAAACTATCACGCATGCTATCGCTGACGACCAGGCCGAACCACTGCCAATTGACTGGGCCCTCTTGCTCGCTGATTGGGACCGCAGTTACTGGGTAATATGGATCTGCATCATCCTCATGCTTCGAGAGGCCCAGCTACTACCTGCATCCTGCCCAAGGCTTGTGGCCTGGCTTGGATCCTTGGAAAGGTAATTTTCCCTCGACTACGCCCTGGCATCTCACTCACGAGGGAAACAGAAGCTACCAGATCGTCCTTCAAACGAAGCATGCATGGGATTGTGAGCGGCGCTATGACCGAGCAGAGCTCGAGATCATAGACTCCATGCTCACGGTCATAGTAAAAGAACCCTTAATTAGCCCGGGCCAAAAAACCCTTGGACAGATAAAGGCGCTAGCATTCTATGTGTATCAGGAGGAGACCATTTTTATGGCGTGGGAGATGAAGGGAGGTAGCTCAGCTGGTACGATGATTGACCAGAGCATCCTCTGTGTAAGTTAGAGCGGATGTTCCCCCAGTCGCTTCGACTGCTTGAATTGTTATTATACAGTTATTACAGTAAATCAGAGCTCATATAATTTGTACTGGTTGATACTTATCTCGAGATGCCTTCCGACCAATTAAATAGATCTTGAGACAAGTTACGGAGCTTTGACTGTTATACTAGAAAGTATAAAAGTTACCTGGCTTTGCGTACGTTAACAACTTTTGCCAAGTCTTACAGAAGCTGCTTCACAAGTAGTGTGTTTGAAATAAATCTGGAATAGATACTCTGTAACATAAGACTACCAGTTTTTAGTTTAATTATTTTATTAAACTTCCGCAAAAATGTGAATTGGCATCATTAACGGCTTGATGGTGGCCATTTTTGGACACTATAAAAGTCCTACCTTATCACTACTTTAGATCTCATAAATCTTAGGCTTAGAGACACTAAACCTCTATTTACTATCGTTCAACCATCATTATCCCCAACCTCCCTGTTAAAAATATACAGCTTCCCGCTTTATGCTCCAATCTTGGAAATCCCTCGTAAGTATAAAGGCCGTCACCAGATTTGTGTACGTATTCCGCATCCCATTACCTGTAAAGAGAAAAATCTACTTATGAACAATTCTCAAGAGTCCACTGCTCAAGATGTGACATTAGATCTTGCGCCATAGAGACCTTAACCATAACTCCCATTCCTCTGATTTTATTCCCAACGCTGCGTTCTTTAGACGCGCATTTACAAACTTACACTACATACCTCTGTTATCAGGGATATGCGGTGTTTGGTGTGATAAGCTTCTTTGGTAATCAGGATGAGACTATCAGGTCATGTAGTCTGATAGAAACTCGTCCAGATCCTTTGCATCGACTAGCAAAAGATTGAAAGATTAGCTCGAAGCATGTTGCTAAGCCCTTTGAAGTTTATTTTATTGAAAGGGTTTTTTGCTTAAATTTTATCTTTTTTTGAGATTAAGAATTATCGATTAAGAATCTGCCGTATTATCCGAGTCAAACTCAAGACACTTTTGTAGGGTTCGTTCTCCAAAACGGATAGTCTACCATAAAATCCTTCTGCAATGCTTAGGTATGGTAGCATATCCTCTTTTGATCCGTTGGTTTCCAGGTCAACAGTTTCGAGGAAAATTATGAAGAGAGAGCATATAGGTATTTGTGTTAAAGACCTGGAGAATTGTTAGACCACTCTTTAACTACAACTTGTTATGAGTCTTACCAATCAGATAGAAGTGTTGCTATTCGGAATTCACTGCTCGTATGAAGCACCATCCTGGCAACGTTGAGACAAATTTCACGGCTCGTGGACATGTGCGCCATATCTTCATCAGTCATTCTTAAAGGATTGCATAGACGCCAACGCCCATGGATCGCAAGTAACGCTTCATAATACTGATACGATGAAGCAATCCGTTCCTGTGATGCTCGACACAATTCCGGCACGAAAGTTGACGCGGAGCTTAAATCGAGTGGTCGGCTTGATATTGGGATAGAATCTTTCCAGTGTTTTAACATACCACCTAGTTGGAACATACTGTTGAAAAGCTCAGTCGGTGACTTGCGCAATCCATGAGATGAATAAAGTTTAGTGGTTATTAGGCTACATATTTTTGCAAACTGGCACTGTAACAGAAGTAAATCGTCGAAATCAGTATTTTGGAGACCTTCACTTGAGGAATTTGGTGATAATAAATCGGTTTTCATAACATGTGACGGTGGTTGATGGTCCAGAAAATTGTCATCAATCAACTATTGACTGATCAGCATTCCATGGTTTTCAAATTCAATGTTCCAGCGCCAAGCTTTCTTTGAGACACATACCGAGTACTTTCCAAGACGTAGAGAGTGTGACTTTTCGATCGAGTAAAAAAGCCAGTAAGCGCGTTGGAGGTCTAACTTCTCTTGCTCGGAGTTGCATAGATCTGATAACAATACTATACTATGAAGTTCGAGACCATTGGAGACACTTGCTGTAACGCTTAGTAGCTCAGACTCTAGTTCCCGATTACATTTCCGGGCGAATAAAGTCTAAAGGATGGTTAGGTTACATGATAATTACCGCTACAAGGCAGTTTTCAGAACAGATCTTACCATGACTAGAGTTGACTGTAAAACGTTAGTAGCCGCGTAAATTTAACTCTAAAATGCTGTACATACCAAGAAAGTTTCCTTTGAGAGATTTCTGACTTCCATTGAACTTCGACGTTCTTCTGCAACTCGAAATAGCGAATATGCTTCAGCAAGTCCTTGCTTAATGTCGCCTCCTTGTTCGACTTTAACAACGTAACAACCGATGGCTAGGGCGGAATAGAGTAAAATAACAGATGTTTCATGTTCACTTTTTCGCACAAGTACTTCTCGCGCAACCCAGTCGAGGTATTCTCGCCGGATGAAAATGGATAAGCTGAGAGTTTAGTCAGCTCATTTGCTCAATGCGTGATTTCTTGTTTAATATATTACCCAAAGGACTCATTGTAACAAGCTGTGAGATATTAGTCTGTGTTGTGTGAGAAAATTGAAGATTCCTACCGTCTAAATAGCACTTAGTTTGTGTATCGTACCTAGTATTAATTGGTATTATTGGCAATGATGGCCTATTTAGCATCCAATGTTGTCTTTGTACATCGTCCAGCAATGTCGAAACGTCAATATGTTCACCAAGTTTCCCAAGGTTGGTAAAGCGTAAATCTGAAAATAAGGCTTTGGCAGAGAAGCTAGGCGCTGTAAAAAGAGTTTAGTTCCTATTTTTTCGGGATATGAGATAAAGCCTATACCTGGATAGATTGTTTGATATGGATCCTTTATTTTCAATTAGCGCTTCATGACTTGCAAATCCGGAATTTTCTTATTCACTCACCAAGTTCTCGACTTGTCCGCTCGGAAAAACTGCGTGATCTTCAAATGAGCGTTCAGGAGAGGGTGTGAGCAGGGCAGTAGATGATTGCTCTCCGGAATCCGCTGACATGTAGCCTCCGTAGCTGAGCCCCGTCTGGAGTGTAGAGTCAAATCCGACATTCTGTTGTGCCTTGACTTGGTCTTCGGTTGATGGATATGTCCAGATACTTTGCCATGCGTAGTCAGAATCAATATTAGCGCCTTGAAAACACTCGATATCTGGGGAGAAGATGAGATTGTGAGGGAATTCTCCGCGCCAAGGAGCTGAAGACCATTGGCTGTCATCCGTAGCATAGTAGGGAAATTCAGTGCCTCTTTCCCAGGTCGGACTAAAAGCAGTGTTTAAGAGAAGAGAATGTGGACGGCGACATTGGGCAATTTCAGTGTCAATACTGTGGTGTACACCATGCTTAGGACGTGTAGATGGCTGTTGGTAACGACATGTGGTACTAGAACGCTTGATGGACGATTATAAGCTGTTGATATCATTGTTTCGTTGTGAACAACTCACATGACAGGCAGCACATGGATTTTCACCATCACCTGTACTATTTTAGCTCATGTTGAGAAAAATGGGGACGAAATGGTTTCTGAAGACGTATTACTTCGAGAACGAGTCAGACTTACATCGAACCTTCCGCTGCTTGCAGCTATCACAAGCTCCTCGACGGCGACGGATGTATTTTTTATCGGCAGTACTCATCGTCTCAAGATTGGAGACAGTATGGATGACAACAAGATTCAGGTAAACAAGTAAACATTAATTGTAACTCTACGAATTGAGAATCACGACGGGGTTTATATTGCGCTTGATACATGTCTGCGCATTCTTTCGAATCGAAGCGTGCCTCTACTCTATCTGTGTGTCTTGCGTCTATGTGCCTACTAGCTAGCTGGGTTGTCGGCCAGAAACTTTGTCAAAAGCAGATGGTCAGACTCTAATTCTTTTGATTTGATTGGCACCAGCTTGAGTTTGGGGTGGATAAACGAGAGATTCTTGATCTTGCTCATCAGATACCTTACGAACGCCTGCAGTCAGGGACGACCTAGAACCTTAAGAGAACCTGTTACGCGCCATGGTCAACTTTGAGTGTGTGCGCTTGAAACAGCCAAACTTTCGGGTCCATAAGGAGGATAATACCGGGGTTCTGTTATGTTGTGGAGAGGCTCAAAGACGGGGCTGTAATCCTAAGATCCGCCCGAAAAAAACAACCTGGCCCTCAACACTGGTTGATTGAACACCAGGTTCATGGATTTGAGTACTTGAAGAGCCTCTCGGTCCCCAGACCACAAAGTCGGAAACACTGCACAATGTTTGTCACGTTTATGCAACTTTTTCACAAAAGGCTAAAGGTCTCCAGCAACCGTCTTGGCATGGAAAACACCGCAGGTCGATGAAATCCTTGATCCCGAATCATTTGTTTGGATGTCTACTTGCGTAGAAGGCTGGTTCCTGAATGCTGAGGATAGGTCAGTTTGAGTTTATTCGAATTTTGGGGGTGAGTATGACCAAGGTTGACAAGCAGACTGGTCTAGCTCACCTCAGGAAAACCGCGCCACCGGCTCACAATGGGTTGAGCATGCTGTCGTGCTAAAGCCATCCATCATCAGGTAATTCTCAAAATACAGCTGGGAGGAGGCTCGTGTTGTGCATAACGCAAATGGATACGTATCGTTGTGGAACCAAGTTGATTCAACTCTATTAGCCGGCTATCGTGCACAGGCCCACAAGGAGCAAGGTTCTTCTTCGCCTAATTCTAAGGCAAACTGTGTGATGAAGAACGTAGAGCTAAGGGGAGGTGCCGATTTTGCAGGCACTATCCAATAAATCTTTTATCATGATGTACAGCCTCGCATCTTTCTACGGTGGAGACCACGATGGGGACCGTCATGATGCCAGTCAAATCTTACGGGGTTTTTTAATTTTTAAAAGATAGCAAAAGATGCCCGACTTCTAAACGCTCCACTTACCAACACAGCATAATTCTTCAAACTCTAATTAGATATCTTCGCAACTCTACTTGAACCACCCCTCAGGGCACATCTGTCAATATTACCCAAACATGCTACTAATGTATTCCATCTCGGGTAAAAGCTAGGTTGGAAAAAATGTCGTTGGATGCTAAAGATTGGGACTGCGCCTGTATGCCGTTATCAAGAGAGATGTAAATTACTTGAATTTGGTATGAGAAATTTATGGAATAAGAGGTGAAGCCAATCAATAGGTATCTAAGTCAGATATAGAAGTATCCAGTATTGAGTCATAGATAAAGGAATCGACTTCCCTCAACAACTACAACATCCTATCTCTTGATTGTCTGATCGTAATTCGAATGAATATTCAACGAGTTCGATACCTTGGTGCGAGGACGTGGGCGATCAGACCCCAACATTCTGTCAGTATTTCAATAATTTGAGGATGCATGCCCAAGGTCTAAAAGCGTTAACCCAGGTCTACGGCGACTAGGATTATGCCTCAAACGCGCCCTATTTATCTACACTCAATCGACCCCTATTTTCTTCGACTTGTAGGGAATAAAGAGTAAGCATATTGAAACAGGCTGAAACGGAGGTTCGCTGAATAGTGAACAGGCTCGCTAGGTATGTTGCTATGGGATCTTTTTATCACATACTTTGAGCACAGCGCAGCTCACAAGTTGACCGCTTGAAGCTGCCAGAGAGCCTCTATGCTGAAGCTCAACCCAGGAAAGCATTTTCATTCCCTTGAGACGCTGTAAGTTCCAGGGCCCTGGTCCCGCGACCCTTAATACCTGACACGCTCCCCACAGTCGGTAAAAGCGGTTGCTAGAAGTCCCCTATCAAAGTAGACAGCATGTCAATGAAAGTACTTTAATTCAGTGAACAAGTATAGCTTGCCGGTGTGCGGCCATTCAACTAGTCTGTTGTATCCTTAGTGAAAGGAATCAGACAAATATATCCTTAACGTCTCAGCCACAATACTTGATACAACCTAAACCTCAACCATTCTTTTAATCTGAGCCTTCTTAAGAACGATGATTTGATAACATCAACAACCAGTGGAAAAAGCTGATTGTCTCTAGCAAGCATATTCTATAATTCACAAGTGGTGTGTGTTGATGACCTTTTGACTCGCTTGAAGCTAAGATTATGAGCTATGCATTCTGATAAATGTAAACGTCGAGAAAATATAATGTCTGGCTGGCTTGGTTGAACCCATTGTCTTAACACCGACCCTTCCAGGACATGTAAAGTTAAAAGGCGGACATACAATAGCTGCGGCGTGGACCGTCGCGAGAAGGTCCCTTCCCGAAAGACAACAATGATGGGCTAGCATGTATAATGGTTAAGGCCCGCGAGGTGGCTGTGTTGTTTAGAAAAAAGATCTGCACAAGGGGTGGAAGTGACAATACTTTGGGATACATTGGCCCACTCGGGTTATCTGCAGGGCCTTGAGGCTCGCCTGACTCTATTGCAAATAAGCTCTGGTCTAACCGCCACTTCAAGGGAGTCCCCTTCAATGCGACATGGCTGAATATACTCCAATTTCGCGTTTGGGCGAGAGCTTAAATGGCTTCGGGACGGGATTGGATGAATTCAAATCAAGTTCTCTTAGAAAAGTGGCCGGCTCAAGATGAGCCCCAGCTGTTAACAACAGCGACACAAGATGGTTTATCCCCCAAATAATTCTATACCGGGGTCTGTAATTCCATGAAGAGCCTAGACCTTCTCGAACTATTCTTCGCGTGCGTTGTAATGTTGGTGCTTCCCAGCTTTAGCGCAGAAATTTGTCGGGGAATTTTCCGTCGGTCAGCTAACCATCGTTCCTGTCAACGACCTTCCAATCTCTTATCTAGCATTTGTCCGAGAATCTAGTCTCGGAGTTTGCTACAGTGAAGTCGAGATCAGGTACAGTCATAGCAGTGGCCAAATCAAGGTGTCAGTCGGATTGCCCAATGGAAAACAATTCAACTTCGTCTTTCAATAAGTCTGCTTAGCTTGGACATTTATCCCCGTCGCTAGTGATGACTTTTGGTTGGCATCCAATAATACCTGATCACTCTGCTGTTGCTACCCGTATAAGAAATTGCAACCGTATGTCTTAATAAAAGGGTTGAAGTTTCACTTTGGAGAATAGTCTTAGACCAGATTTGACTGTGCCGTATAGTTGTTTTTCCGTCAGGAGCATATGCGACGTAGACACGAATCTTGAGCGTATGGCGCCAAATGTGCAATCTCACGGGCACGTGATGCTCTGATCAAGCGTTATGGTTAGTCAATTGAATGCCCAAGGAATGAATAAGTGAGAAGTGCAGGGGCTGGCAGACAGGATCAGACAGGAAGAGAAATGATTATTAACACTGCCGTGTAGCTTGAAATCATCATCTCGTGATACACAAGTGCATGTTCAGAGAGAGACAGACAAAGCTCGTGACGAGGTGGTAGAAGCAGCTGACGACTTGTGGCCCAACCTCTTCTTTGAAACGGCGCACGAGAGATCAGCGAGTCTCGCCTTGGGTCGCAATAGCCGAGGCCAGCTCTAGTACATGACTGCTTGGTACAATGAACAAGCGCCTGGTCTTTCTCGTCCACTAGAAAATGAAGCGATGACAAAGTCGTGCTGTATCGAATAGGTGACATCATGATACGGTTCAGAGTCGTTCAATGGTCAACGACGCTCGAGAGCTGGGCCACGTCTTTGCTTCGACTCTTACCCCTACCCGTCCTTACCCTGCAAAACCCCATCCCACGCTTTTCTGCGCGCTATTTGCAATGCTGCTCGGAGATCTATCGGGGCGCCGGTAAGGAAGAGAGTGTGCCCACCATCGGAGGCGAGTAGGGACGCATCGGCCTCACCGTTGCAGACTGTCCGCATGGCCAGGCTCCATGGTGTGGTCACTTCCAGTCGCACGGTCGTCGGGCCTGCCCTTCCCCGCCGTCGCCATCGTCCCACCGCTACGGGGCGATCGAGGCCTTACGCTTCTCAAACGTCGTCCACCGCTCTGACCTAAGCTACGGGACCGCGCGAAGAAGCAGGCCTTCCCGCTCTCGCCATGCTGCCGATCGCATCCAGCTTGGAGGAGATGGAGACGAGCAAAGGCCCCGAGGCCAGAGTGGTATTGCCGGCCTCTTTGTTTCGCCCGCTGTCTCTGAGACGACGGGGACCCATCCGTCCATGGGACCCTTCGTTGGGGCCGAGGGCCGGCCAATCCCGGGACCGAAATTTGGCACGTGACTTATAATATGGCCGACAGGAATGCGCCTCACGTTGCTTCTCCCTACGCTCCCATCGCCGGCGGCTTGAGCCGAGCTCAGCTGCCGCGAAACTTCGATCAGTTCTAAAATGAGAGAAGAACAGGTGCCGAAAATTGCTTAAGAGTAGGGTGCGAGTGTACTCATGGAAGATTGAAACCTAGTATAGTGATATAGATACTGGGGAGCGCACCTTAGGTGTGATTAGTCACAATTCAGGTTCAGCTTTGTGGCCTGAGGGGTAAAGGTATATAACT